AAGTGCCCATTGTCCCCATCTCATTTCAATGTAAGCAATCAACACGGTGTGCTAATCTTTCAAATGTGCACACTTAGAATCACAAAGATTTACACCATACCTCTTTGATAACATTAGAGTACGCGTTGCCGCCTTTGCAAGACTATTTCAAACTATTAACAAGAAGTTCTTTAGGACACAACACAATTAACATTAAAAAAAAAACCCAAATAAAACAAAAAACTGTTTGCATTGATTTGTTCGCCACGCCCGTTGTTTTGTTCCGGGTTTTCCACATACCTTGTGTTTTATATTTTCCATTGTTTAAAAACAAAATAACTAACAAACGCTTTTAGTTTGCCAAATGTTGGGAGCCACTGTGGCAACTTTTGGGAAATGCCGCTTCAGATGTTGAGAGCCACCGGTTCAGATGATGAGAGCCACCGTTTCAGATGCAGGGAGCCACTGTTTTGGGAAATTCCAAGCATAACCGTATTTAATGATTGTTCTAGTTTCTAGCAACCCTATCGGGTCCACTGGAAGCCATCCGCCTGTAATTACAACCTAATGTCAGAGCACTACAGAAGACAAATTAGTTTGAAATTTGTGTCTTTCTCTGCAGGCTACAGAACACAACATGTGCCATTTTTCATTTTAAAAAAACAACAACTGCAGGATAATGTGTTTACATCACGTGCTGCAATGAAGCGTGATATATATATATATATATATATATACACACACACACACACAAATATATATATATTGACAGACCTTATAAGAGCTTTAAAAAAAAACAAAAAACGTGTGTGCGAGAAAATAAGCACACACTGGACGCCATCACAGGTCGTGGTTCCATTAACATTGTTTTCAACTTTACTACACATGGTATCCCTTCTATCTACGACATCTCGCCAGACGTACACGTCTGAGAGGCTCTGCAGCAGATAAGGACGTATTTGTTTGACACGTGACAGCACTAATCATCAGTGTAACACACGTTCATCGACATGAAAGCGACACTGCTTGCATTCGTCCTGACAGCCATGCTCTGTCTCCACACAAATGCCCAAACGCGTGAGTACAAGACGAGAACAGAACCCACCAAAATAGTTGATTTTATTACAGTTTTTACAAGTTAAACCGAGCATTGCACCCGATTCCACAAAGGCCGCCCGCCTGTTCAGGCGTTAATTTAAATTGTCAATGACCAGATAAGCTGATTGGTCCGATTGGAATTTAAAGTTTAAGTCAACTAATAGAGGACATTCGGCTTACCTCCATGGATGTCGGCAGAAATTTAAAATAAACAAAAAAAGGAGGGGGAGGGTGGGGCTGCATTGGTGCCAGCAAATAAATAAAAAGCCAGCGGGCGGGGGTGTGTGGATATATATTTAAATATATAAAAGCAAGCAGCGACTGACTGTATGTCTTGATTTAGTGTAAAAGACAGTGACTGACTGTCTCTCGTCTTAGTGTAACAGACAGTGAGTGATTGTGTCTCACCTTAGTGTCAGACAATGAGTGACTGTCTCTCGCCTTAGTGTCTGACAGTGGGTGACTGTGTCACGTGGTGGTAAAGAAACATTACAAAAAACAACAGCTTAGGTCTTATGTAATTATTCGGAGAATATCATTAGTGAAAAGATGAACATTAGAACAGAGACTTTGGTTTTTAGAGAGCTAAACATTAAGCGACTACACTAAGTAACACGTAACATAGTATGAGTGATTTAACATCGCAATCTACGCCCAAATATACCTAAAACATGGCTCATAATATGCCTCTAGCAATATCTCAGTAGGTCATATTATTCCATATTAAATACATAACTGTCAAAAAACTATCAAAGATTTTAAAATGGTTATCTGGGTTGGTATCAAGGGACCCATGTCTTTCAGAAGATTAATTAATCAAAGCTTTTTTTTTTTCTGAAACGGTTTGTCTATCTAGCGAGCTACTGTAGACTGAAGCCAGAGACAGGTCACTGCAGGGCCAAACTACTGAGGTATTACTACAACACGGCCACCCAAAGGTGTGACAAGTTTTACTATGGAGGCTGCACTGGCAATGAGAACAGATTCGAAACTGAGGAGCAATGCGTGACCACTTGCAGCCCATGATCTCGCTAAAACAATTGGCAACCAATAAAAGTGATCAGAATGTTAAACTAAGAGTTCCTTCAAATTTGAAATTACCAGTTGTCTGGGACGGTATACATTTAACAAACAATATTGACTGAGTGAAAGACACGAGCACTGGTCAGATATACAGAGTTGAAATCTGTTTTGCATTCCTCGAGTAGTGGATGTTGTTGCTGGGGGGTGGGTGTGGGGGTGTGTGTCAAAGTTCACAAAACTGACACTCCGGGAATATGATATAAAACTTTATCAAAAAATTAAATCGCAATATGTTTTACCAGAATTTGGCATTGCATTTGACTTTCAGCCAAATTTTGTCTAGGAAATTAGAATTGATGGGAGAAACAGCAAGGGAACGGGAAGAAGTAAAGAAGAAGAAAAAAAAAAAAAAAGGGGGGGGGGGGTATGTGCGCGCGCAGGACATAGGGATTTTATAACTTACATATAAATGTGTTAAACAACAACCAACCAAGCAATTCCTAAACTAACCGCATGTTTATTTCTCTAGTATTGCCCTATAACAGTGGCCGGCAAAATGCGGCTCTTTTACAACCTGAGTGCGGCTCGGCCAGTCAGCCACAACAGCCACAAATCGGTTTTGACACAGAAAAACATGGTTCTTGACAGGGTCTCGAAGCAATTTGGCTCTCAAAAAAAATATTTCATCGTTCTGCTGCTGATTTTTGGCTCTTTTGACTAATGAGTTTTCCAATGGCCTACTTTTGACTAATGATTTTTCCGACCAATGGCCTACTTTTGACTAATGAGTTTGCCGACCAATGGTCTACTTTTGACTAATGAGTTTTCCGACCAATGGCCTACTTTTGACTAATGAGTTTGCCGACCAATGGCCTACTTTTGACTAATGAGTTTGCCGACCAATGGCCTACTTTTGACTAATGATTTTGCCGACCAATGGCCTACTTTTGACTAATGAGTTTGCCGACCAATGGCCTACTTTTGACTAATGAGTTTGCCGACCAATGGCCTACTTTTGACTAATGAGTTTGCCGACCAATGGTCTACTTTTGACTAATGATTTTGCCGACCAATGGCCTACTTTTGACTAATGAGTTTGCCGACCAATGGTCTACTTTTGACTAATGAGTTTGCCGACCAATGGCCTACTTTTGACTAATGAGTTTGCAGACCAATGGCCTACTTTTGACTAATGAGTTTGCCGACCAATGCCCCATACAGTTTTTTCTTCGTCATGTTTGGGTCATGTCAGGTGTGTTTTGAAGTCGGCACTAATGACCAGCCAACGCCTTAATCTTTATTACAAAATCACATGACAGCTGAGTGTCAACTGCTATACGCGTTTTGACACGTGACTTTGACAGGACCGCGACTGTATTATTTCGCCGCTTCTCAAAGTGCATCAAGTGCATTGTGTTTGAATGTTAAAGGTCGCAACCAAAATTTTAAAAAAAAATGGACGAAAAACAACATTAAGTCGAAAGTTGATACATATTTGAGCATATATCGCGTGCTGTGTTTTTTCCACCAGCCTGCCGCATTCCGAAACCCATAGGTGTAGGAAGGGGGTGCAGAAGGTGACCCCCCCCCCCCATTGGGAGGGGGGGATTTTTCACCCATAGTCGAAAGTGTATACATATTTGAGCATATGTCGCGTGCTGTGTTTTTTCCACCCGCCTGCCGCATTCCGAAACCCATAGGTGGAGGAAGGGGGTGCAGAAGGTGACCCCCCCCCCCCCATTGGGAGGGCGGCATTTTCGACCAACTGATGAGTTTTTTCGTAGTGGGGGCGGCAAAATGTTCGGCCCTCAGCCTTTGGCACTATCCTTAGCTACGCCACTGCGGAGACCTACATTTTTGATAATCAGTGTTACCAAGACCTAAACATGGCCATATACAGTGTTACCAAGACCTAAACATGGCTACATTACATACAGTTTGACCAAGACCTAAACGTGGCTACATACACAGTGTTACCAAGACCTAAACGTTGCCACATACACAGTTTGACCAAGACCTAAACATGGCTACATTACATACAGTTTGACCAAGACCTAAACGTGGCCACATACACAGTTTGACCAAGACCTAAATGTGGCCACATACACAGTTTGACCAAAACCTAAACGTGGCTACATCCAGTCAGGGTGAGATATTTGACCAAAAAGCTTGCTGCAGCAACTGGCTGATATGAAAAGATAATTGTGCAATGTTTTTTTAAAGCACATCTCCTGAGACAATTGTGTACAACCTAAACAAAATGTAACAAAAACCTTGTCATGTTCATAACATTAACAAAATAAATCATTATAAATGGGAGCTTGCACCGAACGGTACAGATTCGAGTTAGTGAAATAGTAAATCAAATGAAATATCGCTAAGCTAGATATATTTGATGATCCAAATATTTTATGCAAATCTAGATGCACCATCGGATTCTTAATACCCTAATGATAAGAATATATATCCTGATTATAAGCCACACCCTAGCTTCCAGTCGTTCACATATAACAGTATTTTTATTTATATCCTTAGTTTAAAGTTTAGTGCATAGCAGATATGTGTTTTATATTTATATATACATATATATAAAGGTCGAAACTTCTCATTATTTTTTTTTATATATAAGAATAATGACACTCTTCCCTACCTATTTGCAAGCATTTATTTGAAGATTAAATGTCAATTCAATTGAATTTTAAATATTTTGTTTACTAGATTTAGAATATATATTATATTAAATATACATTTTTTTAAATCAAATTGTAGAGGCTTTAAAATTGTCCCAACCAAGCATTATCATTATCCGCTTAGATCACAGTAAGCAAAGTAAACAATAAATGTGAAAAGGACCTCATTTGATCTCATCAGATCACAATTAGGTCTCTGGGTAAAAGGTCCTACCTTCTCTGAGTCTTGGCCTGGTGTCTTCCATTCTCTAACCTACATATTTCTCGAAGTGTTGGAAGGTAATCAGTGTGAAGTGAGACATCTGAATCCAGCATAGCTCCAAGGCTGGTTAGTATACTCTTGTTGAATTTGTCTATGGACCTTTGTACGAAATGATCAAAATTTTTAAAGGATAAATTAAACATTAGAAATAGAAATAAAAACTAAAAATATGACATTCAAAGATGGTAATAAGATTAATTATTACCAAAAATTTCAGCATTTACAACTCTAGAAATGAAAGTAATAAACTATTGGACATTCTAAAGTAAATCAAATTGATATTTATGGCAGAAATTCTGAACGCCATACCAAAATCTCTCTTAACTCCATACCAAAATATTTTTTACCTCCATACCAATGTCTTTCTTAACTCCATACCAATATCTTTGTTATCTGTATTTCTTTGTCCATTGTTATATCTTTCCCATTAGTTCAAATTACTATTCTTAATTGCCTAGCCTAAAAAAAAACAAAAACACAGATTGACTCAAGTTCTTCCAATACTCATTCCAGTCTTCGATACACCTGAGATTGACTATGCAATCTTCCCATCTCCACACCCCAGATTAAGATTGACTAGGGCAAGGTTTCCCAGCCTTAGGTGGCATTTCAGGGATTATTAGAACATAGGAGTTAATAGCTTTTACGTGATGATAAAAAATGTTTATATATTTTAAAACTATTAAACATTTTCCTCTAAGAAATAGGTCACAGGTTTATTTTATAAGTTTTACAGTTGTCTTTGCTATTGAATACATAATTTAAAAGTTCATTATTTTCACATTTTAAATGCATTCTTACTTTTTTAGAAGAGCGAAAACTTAATTTTTAAAACTGCATAGATGTTGCTAGACTAGTAAAAAAAGTCGTTAGGATGGGGAATAAAGAATTTGTTAGGGAAACACTGTGTTCTGGGAGTAAGGATAACTAACCCTTTAACAATAAACATGTCAAGAAATAGAAGTCAGTTCCAATTTGTCGCCCAAAAAAATCTGAACCATGCAAGTAGGCCACGAAATTAGCCTCTGATCGCCACTTAAACAAGTGTACCATCATCTGCAAAGTTACTTTGAACCAACCAGGGATGTGGCTTGAAGAGTGTCATAGAGAAACAGATCCCTTAAACTAAAGGCTGATGTTATTGTGTTCATGGCAAAATTATAGGGTAAAGCAGCACTCTAGGGCAAACTGCTGTCTCACACTTGTCATTAGCAGATCTTCAACTATTTTAATATATTCTCATGGTGCTATGGATTCTTCTTGAATAAAAATGACATCACTGCAAATGCATCTGTGATGAAATCAGAGCAAACCCTAAATTTTTATTACATTAAAACGTTTGCTAGAATGCACCAACTTCAACTTTTTTCTTGATATAGGAGTAATAGCCCTTGTTGTTATAGTCTTCGTTAGCCTAAATCTAACAGAGCGTTGAACCATGTCAACAATCTGTGTCGCAGTAAATCCCCCAATCCCATAAGCCACCAGTGCATGAACTCGTAGATCATCTTGAGCACGCCAGCGCAAGTTATTTCATTGGTCAAGATCGATGTCATGATTGAGATCAGCCAATGAAAAATTCTTCCCACCTTAAATATATACCGAACTTTCAAATCTTTTTTCATCTCACCAAGCACAAGGAACATCTAGGTATAACTTGTGGATCAGCCGGCATATTTACCTACCAAGCTGCTACATGGCAAGAAACCACATCACCTTAGCAGTTGAATTGAGGATAAGCCCTGAGGCCTCATTCCGGGTATTTCACCCAGAGCTACAACCTCCGTACCCCAAAATGTGAGCCTCCATCAGACAGGACTGCAAGTTGCTAGGACTCTACACATGCAATGAACAGCTGGAAAGGCCATTCCAAAAAGTACAGCTGGGAAGTCCACATCTGTCCCCCGCCCTGAGAAAGCGAGAAGAGGAGCCTCCATTTTCACCACTGAAGTGGCCTCATATATTTATCGATCAACCCAGATCATCAATTATATTTATATATAATTTATATGTATAGAAGTTACTGTTTTACAAGATACCCCCACACCTCAGCGGCTGAATTGGGGATAAGTCCAGAGGCCAGATTCAGAGGAGTGCCCAGCGCTATACATCTGACTGCTGAACCGCCAGATTTCTTTACACAGAACTGAGAAAGACTACTCCACAACATACAACAGGGAGGTCCACTTTCATTCCTGCTGTGAAGGAAGTGACTGTAGGAGCCGCTTCCACCCGAGAAGCTTCCTCATCCATTGACCAGTCTATTACAATTGTCGGTTATAATATTGATAAGATAAATTGTAAACGGTCAGAACATATTTTTTGTCTTATTACAAAGCATTGATTAATGATGAAATGTTACGGGAGGCCAAAATTAATAGTCATTAGAACCTAGATTGAAAAATAATATGCAAAAGGTAGATCTAAGCCCTTAGAATAAGCAAATGATTTTCAGACTTATACAATTCATGATTTTTATTTTTTATGAAGTGTTGTAAATTTAATGTAAATAAATAAATTCATTCAATTTTAATGAAACTGGTTATAGACTTCTTTTGAATCATATTCAAGTGTATGTAAATGAAAATGTGTCCCTGTGTGGGTGATTGAATCCAAACATAAAACCCCTAGACAGGAGCAGATCATAACTCATATGAGAGTTATCCACCTATATTGGGCAATGTAAGTAATTCTATCACAAATAGGCTGGAAACTATTAGGTATGGTACAGAAGTTACACAACATTAACATCTTTGAGAAGACAACATGTTGCGTTTCACATCACCTGAGAAGCAAATTTATTAGCTGTCACCCACCTGTCAAGACTGCTGCAATCTGTGTTCCAGAGAGCAGGTAGATCCTTACCAACAGGTAAATGAAGTCCTTCTGCCACACTCTCAATGCCTTCTGTCAACAAGCCTTCCTGGGAACCACCACTGCCAGATCCACTTGTCTGATTACATTGTTTCTTTGCCTGATGGCTGTTCTTTAAATATCCTTCAGTTTTATAAATCAGCCTCCTGCTGGCTAGTAAACTGACAGTTCCCCCGAGCTGATCTGACCAGTCGTGAAAACTGTTGATGTTGGAATGTGTCTGATTCACCTCTGCATCATTCACACCTGGGCTCACACCAGTTCTACACTCACTGTCTCCTGAAGTTGACAGTGAAACTGTTTCCAAATAATCAACAAACGATGTTGTCTCATAGAACCTTGCCATTTCAGAGAGAATTGAAATATTTAACACTTCCTTATTTTGATCTGATGTGACAGTTTTAGAAGAAAGGCTTTTTGCTGTTTCACCACTGCCAGTGTTTGTCACTCCAAGAATCACATTGCTCAAATGGTTTGTGTTAGGGGCTACATTTAATTCTGACTCACCATCCACTTTCGTGGTGACACCAGCTTCATTACTTGAGCTGTCACTGTCTAACCAGTCCCCTTGAATTATTCTTTTCCTGGAATTTTTCACAGATGTCTTAGATTCAAGTGACAACTTAGGCTGTTGTGGGAGACAGAGCGCAGCCAATGGAAATTCAGTTTTAGGGAGCGAAAGACTGTGAAGGGCTAAATGGTATGTTATATTTAAGTGAAGAGCTTGGCTCAGTGTAAGACACACTTGGTTGGCTTCATCTAACTCTGTTTTGGACAGGGTTGGAGACTGTGGACAAATTTGGAAACATTTAAAGAGATGTTTTTGAAGAACTTTATAACTATCAGTATTTTGATAATCAAGTGAAACAAAATCCTCTTTTTACTTTTCAGATCATTGTGAATTAAACATACTGCACAGTAAAACACTACTAATAATAATAATAATAAGAGGTCTTATATAGCGCTGTACCCAAGCCTAGGGCTGGGCTCACCGCGCTGTACATAAAAATTTTATCAAAAGAGACATAATCATGACATTAAAATAAAATACATTAATGAAAAAAAGAACAGCAATGTATATTCACCCACCCCACCACATAACTTTTAAAAGGCAAACCATAGACGGCTGCCAGTAAGATCGTTTATTGGTCAGAGTAGGGGAATCAGTCAGGGTAGCATAATTTAAAAAGATGTTTTTAGTGCAGTTTTGAAGGCCTGGGTGGTTGGTATATTGCATGAAAGTCACTGTGTGTTAGACACAACAGAAAGAGACAAGTTCTTCATTTACAAAAATCCCAAACTTTTACACATACTCAACCCCATAATGTTGAGTAATGGCAGAATCTAAGTTAGATACAATTTAGATGGTATAATAGTTACCATTAAAATGTTTACCTTTAAATACTTGAGCACAGTCTCAGATGAAACCATAACTCCTGAGGGTAACCCAAGCAATGTTTCCTCACACTCCAAATGTAACACAGGAAGAGTTACTCCTCCTTCCTTGTCTTTCGAAACATCGTTTCTCAAGACATTTTCCCCCCTTAAAAAATCAGATTTTCTCCCTTTTCTTTTTGAAGTTGGGGTCGAGGCAGTATCAACTGATTTATCAACGTCGTCATCATCATTAATGACCATTCTCCTCTGCCTTTTACTGGGAGGCCTCAAGCAAAGAAAGTCATTGTCATCATCAGACTTGATTAAATTAGAATCCTCTGATTTCACTGTAGATTTGGCTGATCTTCCAAGCAAACACACTGTACCATCTGCTGGACTATTCTTGGAATGTACAAGTGCCGATATCAGATCTCCAGACAGAGGAGATTGTTTGCGACCACCACCAGATTCACACCAATACTGCAGATAGAGCAAACAGCGCCTGATATCTCCGTTCATGTAATTCAAAATTCGTAAGATTGAACTCTGATCAACTACAACGCCATGGGCAAGGCAGACTGTGCACAGGAAACTTGTAGCAGAGACCTGTAATAAACACAATAATTAACCTCACTTCAATTTTTCTATCTAAACTCTGATTTTTATCTAAACTCTGATTTTTATCTAAACTCTGATGTTTATCAAACTTATTACTTAGACCTTTGTTAATGATAATAAAACACAACTCTCAGCGTGGTGTCAAAAGAAGCTACTTTTCTTTTGTATACAGAGTGGCGATAAAGTTGAAAAACTTGAATATGTTACTCTGCTATTACCTTGGTTCAGATTAAAAGGGTGTAAACAAGGCAAACGTCTTATCATCAAATTATACCTGGGCACAGTACTGTTATACATTTAGGGAGGATGATCATTTTAAAAAAAAAACCTGAATAGCTGCTATTATTCCTGTTAGTTCTTACCAAGGTTGGTTGTTTTAATATGATATGATCATGGCGAGAAGGTAGCTGGAGATGAAAATACGAATCTGTTGACGTTAAAACAATGGGTATCTTTGTTGAGGTCATAAAATACTGCACCGTACTCAGGAAACCTTTGTCTTCTTCAAAGAAAACGTCAACCTGTTTTAAAGAGGAAATCAGAAACTTGGTAAGGGTAACTTAAGTTCACAATGTTTTCATTATGCTACATATATTCAACTTGATAATGGTTACTGAAGTTTACATTAAGTTACACATATTCAATGTGCTAAGTTAACGTCCATGTTATATTTAATGACAAATTATTGAACATTATTTATATGTCTTTTAAATATTATTTTAACATACTCTTGCTTAATTTTATACATTATTTACTCTCAAACAATAGTCACATTTTGATTTTTTTTTGCATAAAGCTAGACTAATGTACATAGTATATTGTATCATACTAATGAAAATATCTAAGGAATGATTATATTGTTCAACAGTTGAATAAAGTAGAGTGAAAGATAATGTTTATTTCCTAAGTCAAACTGATCTGACCTCATCAAATAAAATCAATGAAGCTGAGGCTAGATTAAGAGATCCTGAAGTGGTATCATCATTCAAAATTCCAAGTCTGGCCTCAGGTTCAAGTTTAGAGCCTTTGGTCTTTTCTGTTGTGAGGTAAAAGAATGAAATACAATTTATTAAAAACATTTTTTAAAGTTCACCCGTCTTTACAATGAATAAAAATAAATTTCTTGGGTACAAAATAGTGGTAAATTAAATTTGTCAAAATTCAGGTATTTAGAAGTTAATGTCCTAAAATAATGTAAGCTAATATTAGAAACTTTGTATTATCCTAATGATATAAATTAACTAAATAAATAATTTCAGAACATTTTTGACTAATCACTAAAACAAACCTGCCCCTTTTGTTTGTTTCTGTGAAGACTTTTTGTTGTTAAGTGATTTTGGGGTCTGATTTTTTGAAGTGTCAGAAGATTTTTTTAATGTTGTTGGGGTCCGAAACAGGTTGGCAAAGGCAGATGCTGACTGAGTGACAGCAGCTTTACTCTTGTCCTGCTTGCCTGAACTTCTTTTTTCTATTACCGGTATTTGTAAAAGAATAAAATAAACAGGCATGATATTTTCCATTTGAGGGTAAGGAATTGATTTAGACATCTATTTAAGATTAATGAAAAATCTTAGTATACAGACTTGGTTACTCTGGAACTTAAAATATTGTACAATATCATTTCGGAATGGTCCTTTACTATCATAAAATCGTACAATACCCTATAGTTAATAAAAAACATACAGTACAATGTATAACAGTATAATGTATACAGTGGCATAGGAAGGGGGTGCATAGAGGGGCAGTCAGTCCGACGTGACACTTTTTTCTCTATAAGGAGGGGTGTAATTTTCAAACAGTAATTTTCTATTTGAAGGGGGCGGCAAAAGTATCAGGTCGACCCAGGTGGCACTAACCCTAGCTACGCTTCTGAATGTATACAATAACTATATACCAACTAAAGGTCACTTTCCCATAAGCACATGACTGACAAAGATAGGGGTGGGGAAGTGAAAATCCAGACACCTGCTCAAGTCACCCGGGGGAAAGTTGGGGTGGGGTTTGGGGAGGGTACTGAGCCCCCTACCAAGAACATTGTTAAAAAAATTCAAAATGCAGGGATGTCTTTTGGCGTACATGTATAGTCAAATAAAACTTCATGACTGGGATCAGGCAATGAATTTAATGTTGGAACTTTCTACACTTACTCAGAGAACAAATAAAAAATGTTTGTGGAATATTAGGTCCCTTCTTTTACCTAGCTATATTTATATAAATCCTTCAATTTTAGTTACTAAATGGTAAAATTGTTAACAATTTTTTTTTTAAAGATTACTTATTTCAATCTATCTTTTAAAATCATTCTAAGAGGGGCTGGTGCACAATGGTGCATACAGTCACATAAAAGTGATGTGCATATATATATATAAAAACATACATATATATATATAAAATGTGCGTTTATGCCAAAAATGAAAATAATAGCTAATTGGATAAAGAAATAAATTCACTTTTTATACATCCGGCGGGCCGCAGGTTTAGCCACCCCTACATTAAGTCTAAAAGTTTGCTTTCTCCGTTAACATAGTCTAATATTAATAAGGTATACTGGGAAAAGGGAAGAGGAGTTTGGAACCAAACTGGGGTATTAAAGTGTTGTACAGCTGCTTTTTAGACATAGGAAAAAAAAGTCAAATCTAACGCTACTATGCGGAGCGGTTGAGAATGCATTAAAAATTATATTTTTTACTAAATAAATCTGTTGTTTTCTCTATTTTCGTAATCCCAGTGGTTCAGCCAAAGAATGAAATAATTACATCACTAAATTATGCCATACAGCTCTGCAAATGTTTTCTAAATGTTTCACAAGGCGACTACGCTAATATTTCTTTTGCTGTATCCTATACAGTTCATTGTGAAAACACAAAGCAAAAATATGACGTTCATCACCATCATTACGAAATGAGGTGGTGTTATTTTATAGCCTTGAAATATGTTTAGACACTCCCACTAACCCCTTCCACTCATATGTCCCACTAGTAAGTCAACACCCCCCCCCCACTCTAAGTGTGTATGTAATTATAGATGGTGCCCAACCAAATTGTATTTCTGGGTCCATTCATCCCCAGGTGAATAAAAGAACTAAAATGAACAATGGAACATGCATTTTTTTTAAATCTGAAAAACTACGGGAACACATTTTTTTTCAAAACAGTATCATAAATGGTGGTTCTGACAGGTCTTAGAGTACAATCGCAAATGACATTTCAAATCGCGCATTGTACACCAAAATTGTATGAGTAATCATGTCTGAACAAATTACAATTGGTTCAGTTCAAAATTTACTCTAAAAATGGCAATAAGATTTATTGAAAGACTTTGGAGGAATGGTAACTGAATAGGTGTGGTTCTGGTTCCAATAATTCTGTATAAATCGTTTTCAATAAAATTAAATTTTTAAAGGGTTCTTTGCACATTTAAAATCAATGTTGATATAGTGTACTCTTCAAATAATAAAAAGCGTACTTACATTTTATCAACAATTTTCATTTAAAAGATATTAGACAGAGAATAATACAAAAAATCTAAGCCATAGATTCAGATGATTACATAAGCATAACTAAAAATACGCACCAGAAGATGTTGTGTCCAATGGTGCTGGAGTAGCAGACTTGGACTTGTTCTGTGCCACCTTGTGAGATTGTGTAGCTTCTTCAAGTTGAGCCAACAATTGCTTGCCACTACGTAAGGATGAGGAATTCACTTCAAACACCTAAAATAAGACATTAAAGCAACAAGGATGTTACGCGGATATTTTGATGTGGTTTTAAGTGTTACAACTTCATACAGATATTCTTTTTTCAAATAAAAGAATTATTATTCAAAGAATTTTGTTTGTTACAGATGTCAAACGGATGAATACACAGGTACAAAAGTAGGGCAGTTAAGTTTTAACTATCTGATTCAATAGACAAGTACCGTTTACTCCTATTTACAAAACTGATTTAAAAAAATAATAAGTTTTGCAACCAATACATTGTATTAATATCACTAGATTTATAAGCTGTCTTCAGCTCACTGTTCTGTAGAACAAGTCTAAAAAAATAGTTATCACATGTTTATTTATACCACTGAAGGGAATAATTCAATATACAGATATCACCAGATAGGGAAACCTCCATGACCTAGATATCATCAAAGACATCTAACACACACATTAAAATAGACTTGGGCTAGAAGATTTAGCATAAATAACATCTCCAGTAGATACATGAAACCTTCTTGTCCAAAGCCTCTTCTAGAGTCTTATAACTGGAATATTTCACTAACTACTCTGAGCAAATCTTCAAGAAAACTTAAAATATTGCTAGTGATTAGGCTACATAATATTTTTAAGGTACAAGATGTAAAAAGATCTAAGCCAAATAGTGATGTAGTAAAACTTACCTTGTACCCAAGCTCTTGAGCTAGAGCATAAACAAGACAAGTTTTCCCAACACCATGAGGTCCGCTAATTAACATTGTATTGCAGAGACTGGGTTCATCTTCATCTTCGCTGTCAGCGAAGTCACTGTCATCAGACCATGTGCTGGCTGTTACAAACAATAATTAACATCACTGTCATAAAACCATGTGCAGGTTGTTACCAACAATAATTACTATATATATTTTTTAAATAAATATACTTGAAATCTGTTTCAGCATTTACTAAGGAAGCATAACTATTAAAATTTTGGCTGAATTTTATTTCATGGTTTTTTTTTTACAATGAAAAAAACAAAACAAAAAAAAACCTACTTTATAACTGACTTTAAATAAATGACTGGCAAATGATATAAAATTTTAATTTATAAGTCAAGATTTCATGAACACATAAGATATAAAATCTCAATTAGGTATGGTAAACATTAGGTTGGTCAGAGCATTGTTAACATTAGGCTGGTCAGAGCATTGTAAACATTAGGCTGGTCAGAGCATTGTAAACATTAGGCTGGTTGGTCTGAGCATTGTAAACATTAGGCTGGTTGGTCTGAGCATTGTAAACATTAGGCTGGTCAGAGCTTGAAAGTTTTCTTTTTTAAATTTAAGAGTAAATATTAAAGTGAAAAAAAAAAACCAAAATAATATTACTTAAACCCTAATTAAAGTTTGTACCATTAAAACAAGATATGGCAACTTACTTCCTTTACTTTTTGTCTTTGGTTTATTGACCATGTTTGCCTGTCGAGCCTCTTTCTGCATTGACTCTTTCCATTCCTCCAGCCATCTTGTCAGCTCTTTAACCACCTTGGTGTTTCCTATTAGTTGATCTGAACTCTCAGGATGATGGAGGTCAGTCCACAGGCTATCTAATTATAAAACATTAAACATAGCTATGACATGATGCACATAAAATCAACCAAAGCTCATTTTTAGAGCAAATGTTTTTTAAGGCTTAAACTTTTGCAGTACAAATCAATATTTTTTGAAACACTGACATGACGTGGTGTCAAAACAATAATCATTCCATGTTTTTATTGTTTTGCACGCAACAAGGGAAGTAAAATGTACGATTTTGAGGTGTATACATTATATATACTGTAGGTTTATTATTTTTACTATTAAGATAATGTATTAAACGATTTTGTGATATTATACGATTTTAAGAGTTTGAGGGGAACAGGTCGATGCATTGTCTTATATTAGTGTCCCTTTTCTATTTGAGTGCATTTTGCTATATGAATGCCCCTATTCTATCCAAGTGCATTGTATTATATGAATGTCCCTGTGCTATACCAGTGCATTGCATTATATGAATGTCCCTGTTCTATCCAAGTGCATTGCATTATATGAATGTCTCTGTTCTATCCAAGTACATTGTATTATATGAATGTCTCTGTTCTATCCAAGTGCATTGTATTATAAGAATGTCTCTGTTCTATCCATATGAACCTCTCTGTAATGAAACTGAGATCCAAATGTATTAGCAGTCATACCTTTGGCATTAAGAGAACTTTTGACTGGATCCCTTTTAGCAGGAGGTGGTGTATCATCAACAATAATTACTACATCCTCATCACTCACTTTAACTGGGACATCCACAGGACATGAAGGTTCTGTTAAAGCACATACACAAAATAATGAGACTTTTGTGTCTGCTATATTTGCCTTTAGGGTGCACTTTTATGTAAAGTAAATGTTTTTTATGAGAAATTAATGCGCTTTTTATTTTATAATAAAAACACTAACTTAGTCACAAAGCTGTACTTATAAACATTAAAGAAAATTCATCAAACAGTGCCACATGTTGTCTCATCTTCATCACCAGAGAATCTTTAGAGGCATTATCAACAAAAAGAATTAATTTTCCACACAACAAAAATTATTTTTTGTTTCTCAGGTTGAAGGAGATTATATCATTTATTCCAAGGAGTTAAACATCAGAAGATAGCCTCTTAATCTTAAAATAGTTAATACTACAACGAGACAAAGTAATTTATAGAGAAAATAAACCCTAACTGTAAAGAGAAAATCTCCCCTACCTGTGAGGTCCATGCCAGCTAACTTGCATTGAAGCCCTGTGTATATTTCTCTGAATAAAAACTTGCCATCGCTGGAACTGAATCTTTTAAAGATTATATTTGCTTGCTGTTCTGATAGCAGTTTGTGAGATGAAAATGTCTGAGAAAGAAATTCGTATGACAACAGTTACTAACCATGTTCTTTACAACCTAAAAGATAAAAAACAATTTAATAAAATCCATGCACCATATCTAAACTACAGCATTATTTGTTATAAAAATTTGTAGTTCTAAATAATTGATGCTTTTAACAATTTTTAAAACAAAAAATACTGAATACAAAATTGTGGCTTAAACTTAATTTGAATGGTTGCTGTGATATATTTGAATAAAAAATTTAATGAAGCAATTTTGTAAGTCTATGAAAATGTTAATGAATTTACCATCGAACATTCATTACTAACCTCAAACATTGATGTGGACAGATTACTGAGTTCTTTTTCGTGATTAAAAACATGACATCCCCATTCTAAATTGTCCCATAAAGTTGTATTTAATGCCTCAATCAAATCAGGTACACCTGTCTTGATAAATGAAACAGCCTTTGATGTCCAAGGGAAATCTGCCAATTGCTGAACATGACTTATCGTAGGAAAAGGTGGATAATCTGCAACAATACTAGAATTTGTTGAGCTGTTCATCTGTCTCTTTAGCTCATCAGGAATGCCACTCATCAAGAATTCTCTTCGTAATCTGAGTGTTTCTGGATCTTCAGCGGGTTGTTTTATTTTTGTTTCATTATCCTTTGACTTCACAATTGTAAAAATGGGCGCGATTTTGCCTACAAGGGATAGAGAAAATTAAACTTGAACGAGCAAATTATCAAATTTAATGCAAACATGTATGTTTTTTAAACTGTCATAAATGAAGCTTCTTTAGACTTGAGTACCAAAATAATTTGTGACTTTTAATTTTAGGAATATCTACTATAGTTTACCTATCGTCTTTTTTGTAGTTGTTTTGTTAGGTTTTGACTTTGAAGAATAATTATCTTCCTCATCACTCCCACTATCAATTTCCAAGACAAATTCAGTCAATGGCTTGATAGATCTACTAAGACGAGAACTTCGTCTCAAAGTGGGTGTTTCTGCGGCATCTTCTTGAATTTCTTTGCCAGTCTCAATACCATTAGCACCGTCGTTCAATAGTACAGATCTTGGGGTGGAGTCTAGAGAATCAGGTACATGTGATTTCATTCTACAGAGAAAAAAAGATATTACATAATATAAACAACTTTTATTTCAATCATAATAACTGATAAACTTATACATTTCAATCTGTATTATAGACTTGTCTAAAAACCAAAATATTTATATTGGCAGGTGAAGTCTTATATTCTACTTACAATAGTATAATTTTCTAAAATAAATCCACTCCACTATTTTATTTTTATACAAATAAAATGATTGGCAATATACTGAATATGGTTATTTTTAATAAAAGTTTATAGGTGACCAGTGGATTATTGTTCATTAGATGACCTGTGGATTATTGTTTAATTTCTTGTGAGATGGCACATTATTTTCAGACTTAAAAGGTAAGGTTTGATGTATGTATATTTTTTTTTAAAATGACTTATAGACAAGTATATAATTATATATGATAAATGAACATCATTATGACACCCCTTTAAAATGTACAGATATGAAAATGCATGCTGTCAAGTCTACTACACATCTCTGGTAAAGAGAACTGAAAACTTTTTTTCTTCATTAAGCTGTCCTCTGAATAAAACAATTGCTCTTCTTATATAAAATACATCAGATAAATTGGAGAGTCCACAACCTTAATTATTAATCAATGCAACTTAAAAAAAAAAAAAACTTAAAAAACACGAAAACGTCACTATAGGATGAAGGTGTGTTACAATTTATAAATATGGCACACTGTAAATTAAATATGACATAACTGATATTTTAAATTATTACAATTTAATATATAGCTACAAAAAATGTCATGCTTTAACTCTTATATTATAAATATTTAAAACCTAAGAAAATGTCATTTGACATAATTAATACCTTTTATTAAGCCTCTTTTCTCCTTTCTCCTCTGCATCCAAGACAATGATACCAGACTGGTCATCAGTTTTATTGGGAAGTGAATGTGTTTGGGAGAGCCCTGGTTTCACTTTTTTGCTCACCCCTGCTGCCTCTTGAATCAATGGGTGACTCACAGAATCAGCTTTCTTCATTTCTGTCTTAGATAGAGAGAGACCACTTCTGCCAAAACAAAGAGTGGATTGTGTACATTTAGAGCTTGACAATATTTCTTGCATCACTTTAGATAATCCATCTACTGGTGATGATTCTAACACCTTCAAGTCCTGAGTAAAAGATTGTTTATCTTCCTGAATACTTTTATTAGATTTTCCCAAGGTGCTTGACTTCTTTTTCTTCACCTCTTCTATAAGCACATCTTCCATTTTTCTCTTTTTTGTTGCTATATCTTTTGGCTTAGAATGATTAGTGTCTAATTCTTCAACAGTTTCTGAGCTTAAAAGTATTATGTCATCTGGGTTTTCAATCCGATGTTGAGATGGTTTCAGCTTTGAGGATAAAAGTGGGGACAAACATTTATTCTTTGCTAAACTTAATTTTGCATTGTGAACTTCAGCAGTAATTGTCATTGTTGTAGAGTCCAGTGAGTTATTTTTACTTTTTGTAAATGGACTTTGACATTTGGTAAAGTATGATGTAATAGATTTGCATTTCACTAATCTATTGCTGTCTTGATTCATTTCAACTGCACTTGTATCATCATGTTCAGAAGCATTTGAAACTTTTTCACTGGGGGGAGGCTTGAACAGATTCAGGAAGTCTGAATAAGATACGGCTGATCCATTCAGATTAGTTTTTGATTCTTCTTGTGACTTCACTGATTTATTTATTGATGGGCCACTTTTTTTCAAAGAGAATGATCTCTTAGTCTGATCAACAACTGTGTCTACTTTTTTCAACTCATCCTTCCTTTTAGATTTTTTGGTGCTTGTTTCATCTTTTGAAATTTGCTGCAGAAAGTCTTCATATGAAATACTTTGAGATCCTATCTTTGTATCTGGCAGCACAATCTCTGGTTGGACACTGATTTCAGTAAGGAGGTTTAATTCTTCAGCCCTTTTATGACAATTTTTTGTTGATAAAGATTTTCTTTGTTTCTTTGAAAAGTCTTTCAGGTTATCTTCTTTGATAGCAAAATTTTCCATATCAGAATTAGCTTGCTTTAGAAGATTAGCCATCTGAATAAAATGGAAGTAGAAAAATTACATATACTTCAAACAATTTTTAAGCAACTAGCGTTACAAAAAATTAAAAATAAAACGAATTTAAATTAGTTAGTGTAAGGAATTTATTAGCTGTTGTTAGAGTGAAGTTCAAAGACAGCAGTATTAGTTTAATAAATGTATTATTTGCGCTGACATATAGATTTAATAGCTGTGGTGACTTAAAATCGTTTACACATTCAAAGGATCAAAATTATAATTTCGCTTTCAAATTTAAATTAAATCTATGTATCATGGCCGATTTACCATGTTTGTAACTAGGATATTAGTAATACGATTACATGTGTCAACAACTTAGAGTTAGGGAGCGGGCAGCAACAGCTTCCCCTAGTTGTAACAACTTTTAGTTACTTTTTACTTAAAGCGTCTTTTTAAGACGAAGTCAAGAAGATTAATCAAATTTTGCTGCAAAAGGCTAACTTTTTCAAATTATCTTTTACCTCTGTAAATAATTTCACAAAGAATAATAGCACACCTGATGTGTGTGAGACGGACAGTTTTCATGGGAGTTGCTTCGTCCATTAACTATGTCTATCACATGGACACTCGAAAAACATCAGCTTTTGGTGTAAGTGGTACCATCTTCATTGGCATACTTCTAGCCACATTACTGGTAAATTTAAAGTAACTTTGCAGATCAGTAGTGAGCAAGCTAACATCAATGGGAGCAGCTTGTTGATGTTTTTTTTTTTTTTTTAAAGAGAGCCTATTTTATAAGGACGCAAAAATTAAATATAGAATATGACTAGCGAGTAGCCTAGCCTAGGTCAATTCAATTTTTATTTAGCCTCCTTTTAATATATATTAATAAGGTAGAGGGGTAGGGCTACCACGTAAGTTGTGTCACACGCAATTTACCAAAAAATTGTGCACATCTAAAAAATAAAATCCAGCGGAAGCTGAGAATGAGAATTAATTTTATCGTAAAACTTTTGTGTGTGTCAGTTACAATTATCATAATTATTCATTAAAATGTAATATAGGCCTAAATACGTCAATAATTACCATAATAAATTTTACTGCATATAAAGTGTGCATATTAAAAAAAATCTTGTTTACATTAGTTAAATGAAACAGTATAAGTATAATAACATTCATAACATGATTAGGCTTAAAGTTAAAGATGACAACAGAAGCGTTGTCCAATATCTGTTTAGGAACATGTTCATGTGGAAACACAACCCCACCTCCCCTATTGATTTTCTGGTGGGAGATAGGTCTACTAAGTATTTTTACACAATTTCACTCTCGTTAACTTAGTTAAAGGCATTGATTCATTGATATTTTTATGTATAATGTATAATTAAATAATTATTTCATTGGTTAAATTGTGCATCTACAACACAAATTAATTTAATATTAATATCTAGGAATTGCTAGGCTAGTTACTATTGATTTTTTAATGAATGCAGAATCTATGTTTTTAACGGCACAGAATCCGTTGAAAACATTAGCTGCATATATAAAATATATACAAAGAAAAATAATTGAAATAAGTAATTAGCCTATGTCATGTCTTGAAAATCTGATTTGGAGTGAATTTGTGAGACAAAAGACACTACTACTACTTACTTTACTGTAACTTTACTTACTACTATATACTACACAATATTACACAAAAAATAAATTTTGAAGTGCACCACGACAGCTGTCTAAAACATTGGCACATGTTTTTTTGGCAAAATATGAATGATATTGTCATAAGTCAGATTTGTCAGCTCCCCTTTTAGAGTGATTTCAGTGATCGTGATGTAGGCTAAGGTATACTGTAGGCTAATTTAAAAAAGAAGAGTCTACATGTCCGGCGACTTGCACTACAATCCACTACATTACTACATCAATAAATCACCAATTAGTACTTTTTTTTATAATTTATAGTAAACTACCAATAGCTGCCTTGAACTTGAAGCTAGTGTTAGTAGAGTACCAATAGTTATAAAAATTAAATAATTCTACCATTTTATCTTAATCTTACCAATAAAACAATTCAATACAATAATAAATAAATAGTATAGGGGAGTATAGCCTAGCAGTTTAGCACTTCAAACTGATTTTTTCATAACCAACGCTCAAACTCAAACGGTAGATTATTTATTACCCACTTGAAATCATTCTTGAATGATAGGCCTATTTACTAATTAATTTATTTATATAATTATCAAATGTTATGAGTATGATACTTCGACGGTGCCTTATTAATACTTCCACCTCCACTGACCACTTCCAAGTCCAAGGCCAAGGCAGGCAGAGACGGATGACAATCGGCCCATTTATTTCTTTCCTTACTTTTCAAAACTAAAAGACTGACAAAATTTTCTTAATTATCTGTCCACAACCAATTTAAAATACCTGAATGTAATTTCAATTTTCTTAGGATACCCTTTTTTATATAACCCTTTTGAATTTTAATCTTGTATCTTACTTCGAAGCCTTAAATAAATTCCTCTTTTCTGTTGTTGTTATTGGCGCGCATTGTTGTAGTTCGCGATATTCGGCGATAATTACCTCCCTTGGCTAGAGTTGAAAAGACACTTCCAGGGGATAATGCTCACCGAAACAATATATGATATTTATGATAATCGTTGAAAGTTGGTAATAAAAGAAATTTCTTAACCTATGAATAAATTACTAAAAATTGTGTGGAAGAGGCAGATCCTCGAAATATAGATTCTCAGTTGAATAATAAAATTAATAGGATGCTTTTGCGTAGTAGAATTTTTAAAAATCCATTCAAGGGCTAATTGGCTACTGTCCAGTGCCAGTGGTGTAGCAAAGTTTAGTGCCGCCTGGGATAATTGTTCAAAAGTGCCCCTCAATATAAAGAAAAAAAATGCCATTCGGTGAGAACCGCTCAACTCCTTCCTAACTCCGCTGCTGCTGTCTTCGAGTTTCGGTGCAGGGCTGAATTTAGACTTGATTTGGCGGCTAAGTGTTAGGCTCTAAGCTGAAAACCCACAATTTTTTTCGTGGAAAATGGATTGGTGGGTGGGGGGGGGAGAGATTTTTTCTGCGCTCCCTTTCACGATACCAACTCGGCAGTTGTCCGAAAATCCGCCCCTCATATAAGGAACAAATGATACTTGGATGGACCACCCCATCCGCCCCCATTCTACGCAACTACAAGAGGCGTAGATAGAGTTTGGCACCAGGGGACAAGATTCATCTTTACGCCCCCACCCCCCCCCCNCAACCCCCCCCCCCCCGAGGAAATCGCCTGAAAGAAACACTGATGACTATTCAGCTTTCTATTATTATTTATTTCATAATGTAAAAAAAAATAATGTAAAAAAAAATGTTGTGGTTATAGATGCGCTTTACAAAATTTTTTTTTACCTATATGCCTGGTGGGTGGAACAATTATAAAAAATGAGAAGATACCTTTTATTTGACCTCTAGGACCCGGTCCGTTTTAAGATATCCATGTCAGTACTCTGCTCAGCCCTAATTCGGGAAGCTCAGTGCCGAGGACGAAAACATTTATCATTAAGAGATTTTATTGATGGTATTATTTTTACGCAAGAGAAATACTTTAGATGTCTTGTGTTTAAATTGTTATGATGGTAAAAATTGATTTTGGTTAACAGATCTATTTATTTATGTCCTGATTATAAAAAATGTATAATTTAACTTTTTTTTAAACTTCCATTTATTTGAATTAATACTTTGAAGAAATCTTACTAGCAGAGTTAATTTTCAATCAAACATCACGTATAGACAGAGCCTTCATAGAACCTCGGATTTTAAATAGGCCCAAATTTATGAAGGGGAGAAAACTAAATCCATCAAATTTGAATACAATACAAAACTAAAAAGGTCTTGGGGGGGGGGGGATACAAAATAATTTACGAGATAGTTCTGATTGTGGGAGTCACTTTAAGAGGCAATTAGTACTGTTACACAACTGCTCTTGTAAGTGCTGACCTTAAGACACCAGACACAACATTACTTATTATTTATCAGAAATATTTTTAAAAAGTGTAAGTGAATGAGGTCAATCCTCTTAATTAAAAGAAAATCAATCACCTTTAATAAAAAAAAAATCACAATTAACCTTATCCAAGCGCAAAATAAGCCAATCTCCACCCCTCTTTGAACTAGAAGAGTTGGAGATGTTACAAGTTTATAAACTGACAGTATTTTGTGACCATATAACTATCACGAAGAATAATTCTCTAAGCAATTTAATAAAAAGGCCAACAAAAACACAACAGCTTTTTTCTTGACGCCTCGAGATTTAGGTCTGTTCTGCTGCAATATTATTGAAATTGGAAATATATGCTTTGATATACCAAAATTGTGTGCTGTATAGAGGCATTTGCTTACTTCCTTTTCACAATTGATCGGAACAATTGCTACAGTCGACGAATGCTTACCTCCAGACTTTTAATTTAGTCTGGAACGAACATTACATTTGATCGCTTGGGGGGGGGGGGGTGAGAAGAATATGCTGCCTTAAAAAAAAACAAAAAAAAAAACTATTTTATTGCTGTACATTAAGATCAGAAACTTTATGAGACACATTTAAAAAAAATTCAGATTATAACAGTGTATTAGGTCTCTTCCCAGACAGTCAAAACGTTATTTTAAATGTCTAGAAGAGTTGGACAAATAGAGTTCCTATTGGCCAATCCCCAAGAAGAAGAAAAAAAGAAATATCTTTAGTCTTTGTAAAGATAAATTACTATTAAAAAAACCGAAACATTTTTGGGTAATTTGTGTTGATTTGATAATGAATTCCCCCTCCCCGTTTTTTTTTTTTACAACGGTTTCCCTTGCATCTTTTCATGTCTTTTGGTGGTAGGGCCAAACATGAAAATCTGTCAAGAAAAGATGATGGCCTTCAATGGAAATATGGCGTTCAGAGGGAAAAATGTAAATGATTAAGATTTAACACAAGATAGACTTATTCTACTGCAACTATTTATAAATCTAGGCATGCCTAACAAAACAGTTTCGAAACACAAATCATAAAATGCACAATTGATCCATTCATTAAATCAATGAATGAAATTGAATCACCTTCCCGGTCTTTATTTATTCTTATTGTGAAACAAACTGGATTGCAATCACTTAGATCGGTGTCATGAGAACCTTAAGCGAAGAGCGAAGCGATATATTTCACAATGATAAATACACGCAACGATAGCCTGATACCAAGGGAGATGAAATGCACATATGTTGGAGATTTTTGTTGGATTCTTCTTGTCTTGGTATACTAGGGTGACCAAATCATGAACTGGGGGGTGGGGGGGGGGGGGTTTATATCCTCCAGCTAAAGATTGTCCGGGGGACTCCGCCGGAAACTGTTTATTGAAATATTCTCATTTGAACTATTTTGAGACCTAGATATCTTTTAAAATTTACCTTCACTTTTGTTATTTAATTTAAACTCTGAGGCATATCATAAACGAAAACAATACATTTGCAGTGAATACTTATTTATTTATAAATTATTTACAACATAATACAACACAACAAATTAAATTTCTCTAGTCTAGGATTTAAATTGAGGATGTTTGACTGTTATCCCCACCATTGTTAAAACGTCCTTCTTATCTAATATGTGAAAATGTGTTTAGTTTTAGAAACGGGACATTTAAGCGTCCCGGGAGACACGATCATTTGTCCCGTTTTTACGGGACGTTTATTCACGCTATGGTAGACCCTATCTTATGAAGTCAAGTGAAAGGGTCTTCATTTGTTCAGCATTATAATACAAAGTATCCAGCCAATCTATTCTTGTGGTATAAATATGCACATTTTCTTAAACCGGTAGCACACTGTTCTTTAAATCAATCAATATAATTCGCTAGGTATTTGTGGTGTAATAATTATTTCCATGGCGCGCAAAATACAATTTTGGATAACTGCGGTAATTGTGATTCTAAAAAAAAAATACCGCAAGTGTGTTTGGTGCGCAAGGTTTTCTTTTCTTTTCGGAAAATGATCTCGTCTCAATTTACATATGACGTAATAAATTGGTGGTGTAAAAAGGGTTGGGACATTGTTATATTAATATAGTTCAGGGGCGTGAAAATGTGCGCGGTAGTCAGAGCCGTAGCGATGGGGGGGGGAGGGAGGACAGATGTCCCCGGGCGCAAGCTAGATATGGGCGCCAAAATGTGCTTTGATATTATATTATTGGTAAAAATAATGGGTTTGAGATTTGAAAAAAAGAAAAGGGGGCGCTTTAAAATGGATCTTGCCCCTTGGCGCGAATCTCGTCCCCGGGTGCCAAACACCCTCGCCACGCCTCTGGTGGTGGTGCACCTGAGGGGTTAGCAATAATTGGGGTTCTTATAAATTGCGTTACTTGAAGTCATGTCATGTAAGGAACTTTAGCAGATTGTCGCGGTCATTGTTTTGTGGGCTATAAGAAGTGATGGTATAAATCTGCGGTGTAAAAGGGAATTGGACAATAGAAACTTAATAAAATGAATATAGCTCAGGTGCGTGAAAAAAGTGTGCGGAGACCCCGGGGGAGATTGGGGGGGGGGCACTATTTGAGATTGTTATGAAGTGCGATACTTGATTGTTTTTCAAGTAACTTTGGTAGATGTCAGATGGTAGATCTCTTTCAGTTAAACATGGAAATGCATTGAAATCAGAAGTTAGTAATCCGTACCAAGAAGTTTAACCACAAAATGTCATGACACTAAGATGCCTTTGACAGGTGGTTAAGAGCTCATTGTTGCAATTCGATTTCAAATATCATTTTTTTCCGGGTAAAAGTTGGGTTAAGCGTGATAGTTCAAAATTTTCCCAGTAATGAAATAAAATCTAGATTTTTGTACCAAAGAGTTTTATAAGTAGGTTTTTTTCACCTTAAACTAATTAGGAAAACAAATATGGTTGTACCAAACCCACAAAGATATTAAAAATATTGACGCTGTGAAGAAGTTTCTTACTACGATACAACCAGGTGTAATGTCACAAATTATTGTTTAATTATTATACAACTTTAAAAAAAAAAAAAAAAAGAGTTATCATTAATTATTGTGATTGAAGGTTAACTCCCAGAAGTTCATCAGGTATGTTTGTCTTTGAACTACTATAATAAGTAGTTTTTTACTACGATACAAACAGGTGTAATGTCACAAATTATTTTTTAATTATTATAAAAATTTAAAAAAAAAAAAAAAAAGAGTTATCATTAATTATTGTGATTGAAGGTTAACTCCCAGAAGTTCATCAGGTATGTTTGTCTTTGAACTACTATAATAAGTAAAGTATACATTTTGTAATTATCTAATCTTTTCTCCTCTCCAGCTGCTTTGCCGGATTCGTGTGTCAGCTATGTATGTAGTTTGCAAATGTTTAGTTTCATTTGACTTTAGAGACTGACCGAAAGTGATTTTCTGATCACTTCTGATCACGAAGCCGAAAATAGGCCGAAAGTTTAAAATGACTGTTATGTAGTACACTTTTCCCGTGCTTGAACTTTGTTTCACACCACATTTGATCCCTAGCAGATGGTAGCGTTTATTGTGGGCGTGGCCTATTCGTTTGATTATCTTGTTTACTACCGGCTTCCAATTAAACATGGTTAGTAGGTCTACTAGCATTTTGTCGAAGGTTCTCGATTGAATTAGAAAAGAAAGGCGTTTCTTCGACGCGTCGGTAGACCCACATATATAAAGGATTGACAGGCACGGAGAGAGACGGAGATTCAGTTAGATTTATTTTAACTTCACGAGACGTGTATTATTCTTTGTGGACTTATGTGTTTATTCGCTTTCGTCATTGTAGATTATTAATTGGCTCATTGTATTCTCTGTGTACCGGTACAAGATCTACCAGATTTTCAGATACTCTTTAAGTTGATGATTTGTAATTATATTTATTTTGTTTTGTAATAGTATTAATACTAAATTAAATCTTATTAATTGTAATTGGTACTGTTTTGGGTGTCGTATTTTTGTTATTTGTATTTCTCTATGGTATCGTCCTTTGTTAGGCACTGTTTGAACGAGCCATAAATTTAAAATAGGAGATTAATTTCTTACAATAGAAGCCAGTGCGAAACATGTCTTTCGTCCGAAACCGAAAATAAACTGAAAGTTAACTTTTCTCTTTCGGCCGAAACCGAAATTAAGACGAAAGTTAACTTTTCAGTTTCGGCCGAAATCGAAACTTGGCCGAAAGTGATAAAATGGCCACATGGATGCAGCAACGTACTCTACCAGAATCAGAATATATATATATATATATATATATATATTATATATATATATATATATATATACATATATAAACACACACACAAACACAATTTCTTAACGAACTAAATGATAGCTTTAGGTTTGAGAGGGCACGTCCTTCGTCTCCTGCCTGGCCACCCCTAAATGTGTAGTGGCATATCGAGTTCTAATTTTAATAAACGCCTTTTAAAAAATACAACTAGTTTTCAGATCGAAAATAAGGAGTGGAGTGGACATTTTTTAAATTATCTGTGATAATTATTATTACTGATTAAACTTTTACACTATGATTATAATTTTCAAAGGCAATTGCAGATAATCATACAATGTTTTTACATTGATAAAATCATTTCAAACTGGCCGCATGTATCCAAATCCTGATATACATCGCCAATATTCCAAACCTATTTTGGAACCACATCAATCAAATGATCATAGGACACAAACTTTGACAAATAATAATATACACTGCTGTGGGAAAAAAAAATTCCTTTATTTAGTGTTTGTCATTTCTAAGACCGGACAACGTCACACCGCTTTAAGTAATGTTATTATTTCTAGACAATTTTTTCGTAAAATATAGCTTCTAGCATTGAATTTCCATATATATATCAGTAAAATTTGTTTGTAAAATCTTTCGTAAAATACAGTTGCAAAAAGGTTTTCGTCTAGGTTAAGTAAGACCAACTATGGTGGCTCACATTAAAGTAGAAGTACTGAACCGCTGTTGAGAGAATGGCCAAACTGAATACCAGGATGTTCTATTAATAGATTTCCGCCATTAAATGACAAACCCTATTTTACTGGACGAAGTTTAAAAAAAGAAGTTGTAATATAGAGCAAACGAACTAGTAAAGGAAAATGGTTATATAAATGGGTTGTTGATTTTAATATAATTAAAAAGGTGAACATTGAACATTATTTAAATAAAAGCAAACCTTTCAATGACAAAATCTTAATTTTTTAAACTTTACTTTTTCTTAAAATTGGCAAGAAAATCCAAGGACGAAATAGATCGAACTTTAAATAAATGGGCCTTTTATTTTATATTTGAAAACGTGAACATTTATTTCCCAAAAGAAGTGTGCCTATATTTCTTCACGGCAGGTCCGCAGGTGGTCAAGCAAAGCTCAGAGGATTTAAAGTTGTTAGCATTTCCATTGCAACCTCCATACGCGAAGTATTCACATTCACCTCTGACTTTGTTAAAAAAGTAGCGATCAAATAAACCTTTGCATGTTCCAGCGTCAGGCTGCAGTTCGCAAATTGCTTGGGAGGGAATGATAAGAATAGATTAGATATAGCAAAAATGATATTGATTAATGAATGCAATACATTGTTAAGACAATTAAGTAATAATATAGAGATCTTCTACCTATCATTAGTGATGTTAGTTATTGGGGTAACTTCATTTTGTGTTCATAAGCACAATTTATTTGATAACTTCATTGGCTAGACTTCACTAGCTAAAGTAGTATGGTAAGAGAAATTTTTGACCAGGGGGGTGAGGTGGGGGGGGTGTGAATTCATGAAAAAAATATACCATTTAGTGCCCTTTTCTTTTATAATATAATTATAACCTAGAACATATACCTACAATAATTATTGTCGCTCTGACAGAGCCAATTGTCACCTAAATATCAGTTATTAAGGCTCTAAAAATATCACCACAATTTTTGGCGGTTATCCTCGTACTAATGCTTTGTGTTTTTCATAAACAGCTGGCAAGATATCGCTGTATTAATATTTAGCCTAGTACCAACACACTAGTCTTTCCGTGATGGTGACGTCATTATTTCGTTCTTTTAAAATTGTGCTCTGACCAGACTCGACGGAGAATCTTAAAAGAAATTTAAATTATTCGCCAAAATCATACAATTAAATTGGTCTGCAGTAGGTCTACTACATAACAATAATACGAACCCGTGATACATGCACACGTGTGATATTACGCTAGTAACAATGTTTATGAGCATGATAATGATGATATTCAAGAAATGAATCAATTGAAAAAGCCTAAGTTTCCCTAATTTTTATTTTTTAAAAGAAATAAAACAAAAATAATAATGGAAATAATACCAGTCCCTAGGATTATTCAATATTATTCCCCTTTGCCTATGACAACTTTGATGAGCATGGTAATGATAATTCAAAATGAACATCACAAATGAATGAATTGAATAAATCTAAGGTTCCAAATTTTATTTTTGAAAAAAAATTAAAACAGAAGTAAAGATATAAATATTACCATTCCATTACTTTTTCTTCCTCAAAACTGTTTACATTTGTCTAAGCGTAATTGAAATTTAATTTCTGGAAATAAAGGACAAAGTAGGTCATCATTCAACTGTGAGCAGTTTTCGCAAATTATTTGTCATAGGCCGAAAGTGATCAAAAGGCAACTTACGGCGCCGAAACCGAAGACGAAACTCGGTGGTTCTCTAATCTCCAATACAAAAGGACACATTTAAGCAAAACAAACTATTTTACAAACAAACAAACACTGCATACTCACCGGTCTTCTGGGTGGACAGCCGGATGCACAGCATGCCAAACAGGCAAAACACAAGCATTTTGGTCATCATTTTGATTGGTGGGTTTTGGAAGTCTTCGGACTTGGTGAGAAGATTCTTTGGATGGTTGGAAGGCGTTGTGATAGTGTCACTGTCAGTCCCAGCTTTTATAGGAATCTACCGAAGACGTCACGATTTATTGGTTCTGGTGTCAACGTGGCTCCCTTAAATTAGGCCAATAAATGATACTTAAATTGAAATTAAACAAATAACATAGATAAATTGGAAAATCGCTGGTAACTTTAAATGCAAATGAGATCTGGTCATGAAAGCTGTTAATAATATCTGAAACAGTTCGGAAAGCAATTGTTTAAAAGTTATATTTTAAAGACTGTTTTTGAACTTATTTTAAATAAGTACATCTTTACAGATTGTTAATGAGATGCAGTGAATAAATTAAAATGATTTTGCTTAAAAGCCATATATTGCTTAAGCCAAACTTTTAGCTTCTTGACCTGAGGCAGAGGAACTCAACTTCCGGATACAGGAAACAATGGATCTCCTCACTAGCATCCACGTACTATTATGAGGTCTATAGTTGCAAGTTGTAGAACCCTCGTAAATAGCCATGAACATTAATGCTATCAAATTTTTATTACCTTATTTTCTACGAAAATTAAATTAAATAATCGTAATTTTTCGATTATAACTAAAGACGCTATGTTTCATAATGCTTGAAGGTTATCAAAAGTAGAACTTCGAATAGAAAAACGTATGAGTACACACATTTAAAACAATAACTCTCTGCTTGTTGCTGAGCACATACATTGAAACAATAATTCTCTGCTTGGTGCTGAGCACATACATTGAAACAATAACTCTCTGCTTGTTGCTGAGCACATACATTGAAACAATAATTCTCTGTTTGGTGCTGAGCACATACATTGAAACAATAACTCTCTGCTTGGTGCTGAGCACATACATTGAAACAATAACTCTCTTCTTGGTGCTGAGCACATACATTGAAACAATAACTGTCTTCTTGGTGCTGAGCACATACATTAAAACAATAACTCTCTTCTTGGTGCTGAACACATACATTAAAATAATAACTTTCTTCTTGGTGCTGAGCACATACATTAAAACAATGACTCTCTTCTTGGTGTTGAGCTCATACATTAAAACAATAACTCTCTTCTTGGTGCTGAGCACATACATTGAAACAATAAATCTCTTCTTGGTGCTGAGCACATACATTAAAACAATGACTCTCTTCTTGATGCTGAGCACATACATTAAAACTATCACTCTCTGTTTGGTGCTGAGCACATACATTGAAACAATAACTCTCTTCTTGGTGCTGAGCACATACATATATATATATACATATATAATTAATGAACCACCTCTTTGTTCAAGGAAATAGCGTATAAGAGTCAGTCTAGCTAGCATCATCTGGTTTTCAATTGTCAATAATAATGTAACGATCATGTGTGGGGAACAACTTACTTACTTACTTATTAATCAGAATATCGTTTCATTCCAATTACAATCGGAAATATATTGCTGGACACGATTGTTGACTACTAAAAAGAAAGTAACGTGTTTTAAATTTTCTTAATTTTCACAATATAGTTAATTACTTGGCACCATGGCTTGTGCTAGTGATAAAACGAAGTTGGATTGTGAAAATCCCTCATTCAACAATGATTAAACATTGAAATAGTGATCTATATCACATGACTGTGCCTAATTCAAAATCAATGTGTTTGCTATATAACGAATGTCTGTTGGCGGTGAAGGAATATAACATAAATTTACAACGAAACGTGCAGATTTGGTAAAGTCTTATCTGGAAGGTCACACTTTTTGAAAGTCAAAGGTTGGATCGATGGTCGATTCTTATCAATGGTCTAAACTGAGCAAATCTCAAATTTGGTGGTCAGGAGTTCAATTCCAGCCAAAAGCACAGTCAAGCAAAAAATATCATACTGGTTAACCTTGGATGGCAACTCATCTAAGAGAAGGAAACTCTGAATTCAAAGATGACGTCCCGCAGGCGGATAACATTGGTACAATGAAACATTGCGACAACTCCTGAGATGCCACTGGAGCCCAACTGTATCATCCACATGATGTTCCCTTGGGTTATCCACTCGCGTGTAGAGAAGCGATTTGCTGTAAGGAACCAGCTTATAATCCTATACGAATAATCCCAGGCCTTGTGTATTTCGTCCTGCGAAGTCTTCATCATCGTCACATTGTGTCGCACAGATGCCAACAAAAATGTAGGTGACGATACTAGCAGTTTTAAACAAAATAGTAAGTGACGATACTAGCAGTTTTAAACAAAATAGTAAGTGACGATGCTAGCAGTTTTAAACAAAATAGTAAGTGACGATACTAGCAGTTTTAAACAAAATAGTAAGTGACGATACTAGCAGTTTTAAACAAAATAGTAAGTGACGATGCTAGCAGTTTTAAACAAAATAGTAAGTGACGATACTAGCAGTTTTAAACAAAATAGTAAGTGACGATGCTAGCAGTTTTAAACAAAATAGTAAGTGACGATACTAGCAGTTTTACACAAAATAGTACGTGACGATACTAGCAGTTTTAAACAAAATAGTAAGTGACGATACTAGCAGTTTTAAACAAAATAGTAAGTGACAATCGGATTAAATAAAAACTAGCGCAACACATTCATTTCAGTTAACCCCTATTAATAAACGCAGAATCGAAAATTGGGGATCTGAACTTTTTAAATATTTAATTGAAAGCATAAAGCAGGATGATGTTATTTTATTTGTTAATTTACTTGACTCTGAAGCCCGAACGTTGTGAAATGTATCATCATTGAATAATCATTCCTAGACCATGGGCGACATTGTCCACGAGGACAAGATAAAGACACGGATCAACCTTTTGCTTGATACCCGCCATGTTAGGGGAGGAAAGGGGTCAAGGAGATCGCGGACAAGAAACAAACATTAACACCGAAAACGAGGCCAACACTTTCACTTCAAAGATATGTTTCAACTTCAAATACTCCCATTACAGCAATAGTCTACACCATTACAGCAATAAAACACACAATTAAAAGCAATAGCCCCCCGCCATTAAAGCAATAGCCCCCCGCCATTAAAGCAATAGCATATACAACTAAAGCAATAGCACACACGTATGCAGCAATAGCCAACACAATTAGAGCCCTAGCCCACAACATTCCACAAATAGCCCACATTAATGAGAGTATAGACTCCATCAATCCCAACAGAACTAGGAATGAAAGAATAGTAGAAGAAAAAGTCAGACATAAATCATAAAATACATTACACAGACATACAACCTAACTGATGCGTACAGGGAAAAAGCATCCCTTGGGGAAAGACAAAGGCGCAAGCAACATGCGCTAACCAGATGCTAGAATAGACAGGATATGTCAACTGAAACCAGCAACAACATATAGCGCTGTGCACATAGAAGACACACTTCAATGCATCGAACATAAGGCTGTCAAAGTACAAATAAACGAATCTAACGACAAACCAATAGGACGCTCACCACATTGGAAATTCAATAACAAACCTCTTAGAGACTCCACAGTATCTAGAAATAAAACAACCTATTATAAAAACGATATATAACCACAATCCCAACCCAAGATATGGGCAAGCATTGGGAACTTTTCAAATCTACAGTCACCCAGACCATCTCGGCGAAAATACAAAAGAAAAGGAAGGACCGTGAGAAAGAACTGAAACTAATAATACCGATTATGAACGCAACCGATCCGACCGACCCCTCGAAATTATAGAGTTTGAAAAAGAATTAGACACATGACAACACTGTAAATACAAAGGCGCTCAGGTGAGAAGCCAAACGATAATAGATGACTTAGAAGTCCCCACAAAAATGTTTTGCTTCATAAAAGTTATAGAGGACGACCAAGAAGCGCTCCACGATAACAATGATGGGATTGTAAACAAATTTAGGAACTATGACACACTTTTTTCCTAGCTAAATTTGTGACTTTTGTTTACGTGACTTGTTGCCTTACGTGTTTGACTGGTGAGCGGTAAAAAGTCGTAGGAAGAAAAAGTCAGTGACAAAAGTCACACATTTTGCTAGGAAAAAGTCAAAGGGAAAAAAGTCACTGGAAAAAGTAAAATATATTGCAAGGAAAAGGTCATGGGGGAAAAAGTCACAGGAAAAAAAAGTCACAGGAAAAAAAGTCACTGGAAAAAGTCACAGGAAAAAAGTCACTGGACAAAAAGTCACAGGAAAAAAAAGTCACTGGAAAAAAAGTCACTGGAAAAAGTCACAGGAAAAAAGTCACTGGACAAAAAGTCACAGGAAAAAAAGTCACTGGAAAAAAAGTCACAGGAAAAAAGTCACTGGACAAAAAGTCACAGTAAAAAAAAAATCACTGAAAAAAAGTCACAGGAAAAAAGTCACTGGACAAAGACACAGGAAAAAAGTCACTGGACAAAGTCACAGGAAAAAAATCACTAGACAAAAAGACACAGAAAAAAAAAGACAATGGACAAAAAGTCACTAGACAAAAAGAAACAGCAAAAATAAAAAGTCACAGGAAAAAAAAGTCACTGGAAAAAAAGTCACTGGAAAAAGTCACAGGAAAAAAGTCACTGGACAAAAAGTCAAAGGAAAAAAAGTCACTGGAAAAAAAGTCACAGGAAAAAAGTCACTGGACAAAAAGTCACAGTAAAAAAAAAATCACTGAAAAAAAGTCACAGGAAAAAAGTCACTGGACAAAGTCACAGGAAAAAAGTCACTGGACAAAGTCACAGGAAAAAAGTCACTGGACAAAAAGTCACAGGAAAAAAAAGTCACTGGACAAAAAGTCACTGGACAAAAAGTCACAGTAAAAAAAAAATCACTGAAAAAAAGTCACAGGAAAAAAGTCACTGGAAAAAAAAAAGTCACAAATTTAACTAGGAAAAAAAGTCACAGGGAAAACTTTCCAGGCACAAATAAGACTTGCAGGCCACATTCGAACTCACCGTGGAATATAGCCATGGTCATCTTCGGATGCGAAGGACGAGCATCAATAAAATTATAAAAGTTGATCCCTTCCTGTTTCTTTCATTATTTTACAAAAAACATGTTTGTCATATTGCCCGTAATGCTGTATTGTAAGAAATCACCACACTTTAGCAGCTGGATTTAGCATAATTTCTTGGGCCGGTTTCCAAGGATTCCGCTCAGCAAACACCCGGATAAACAAGCCGTTAGCCTGCATCGATAGGACTGCATGTTGAAAAGTCTCTCCACCACGACATACTGCTGGGAAGTCCGCAACCCACAACGTGCAAAGGGAAAGGATATTCCACAACGCCCTGCTCTATGACGTCCACGTTTGTTCCCGTCCCGAGAAGCCACGAAGGAGAGGACGGGACGAACCCTTTCCGACATTGAAGTGACCTCGTCCATTGATTGATCAAACCAGATCATCATTTTATGTTGATAAATTAAGGTGTAAACGCCCCCCCCCCCCGCCCGGGCTCTAGTCAGCATGTCAGTCCTATAAATGGCATGTCGATAAAGAGGCGTTTGGCCACAAACCCCCTGAAATTATTGATCAAACCAGAGCATCATTTTATGTTGATAAATTAAGGTGTAAACGCCCCCCCCCCCCGCCCGGGCTCTAGTCAGCATGTCAGTCCTATAAATGGCATGTCGATAAAGAGGCGTTTGGCCACAAACCCCCTGAAATGTTACCCGGGGTACAGTAACACCGTGTAGGGGACCTGCGCTCGAAGGCAAACTTAACGCACGGAAACTGCTTTAGAAAGTGTACGGCTGCATTGGTTTCCCTGCCAGGTGCAGTTAAAAATAACGCAGCAACAGGTCGGGACACAGATGCCGTATGGATAGGATTCTAAATACGGAGTGGCTATTCGTACCCGGGTACCATTGTATTCAGATCAAGAGACTATTTTTAGCTAGCCCCACCTTAATTCGGTTACGCCTTGTGTGTTGTCTGCTAGAGTTCACAGCACGGGGAAATATGACGTAAACACGTCGTCTACATATTCTGATTTTTTGGTATTCATAATTGGATAAGACAGAAATAACCCAGCGTGAGTTTATGGCCCCCAGGGCGCAGTGGCAGGAAAAGCTTTTAGAACCAGTGTTTAAAAATATTAACCCACCACGTACGCATCGGCTACACCAAGCTTAACGATTACGTCATTATTATATTTAGAATGATCACTCGATGACATATGTTAAATCTAATTACGTAATGTGTATAACATTTGTGTTGATTGTGTTTAATGGTTGCTTGTTAATGCATAGTGATTGTCATATTTTTGTTGAAAGTGTTTAACATGATCTAAAAATAAGCAATAATACTGTGCTTAGTACAAATAAAAAAATATGTGAACTATCTTAAATGTTAAAGAAAAGTTGTAAAACGATGATTGAAATAACAAAACAATCAGAACGTGTACACACATTAAACAATGGAATTAATAAAACAAATTGTTTCAAAGAAGATGTTTTTATTGTTTGAAATTACTTGTGTCTTTCATATTGCCAATGCAAATCCATGCATTTTCAAGGCCTACATAGATCGAAAGCAGAAACACAAATAGGTTTTAGATTTTCATCCTTAAAATGTGAACATCTTTTTCCCCAATAGAAATTGTCTATTTTTTCCGGGCAGCTTGGCAGGCGGCCAGACAGTCCTCGGTAGTTTCAAAATTGTTAGCGTTTCCTTGACAACCTCCGTACTCGAATTCCTCACATGCACCGGTGACTTTGTTGAAAAAAAAGCGCTTGAATATTCCCCTGCAAGGTCCTGCGTCTTTTTCCAGGTCACAAGTTGCTGTAGATGAAATGTTAAGAATGGATTATTTATAGACAATCAGATTCTAGTAAATCAATACATTTAAGTGGGTTTAGGTGAAATGTTAAGATCGGATTAGTTATATTATACAAGATTCTGATGAATAGATTTGCTATTTTAAAATAAAATACTGAATGAAACAGCCACATGATTGCTGCATTGCTTGGCGTGAACCCAACACCGTCGGCTGAATGCATCACAAGATGTCATAGGTTGGTGGTGTTATGAATGTATCACTAGATGTCATAGGTTGATGATGTTATGAATGTATCACTAGATGTCATAGGTTGATGATGTTATGAATGTATCACAAGATTTCATAGGTTGATGATGTTATGAATGTTTCACAAGATGTCATAGGTTGATGATGTTATGAATGTTTCACAAGATGTCATAAGTTGATGATGTTTATGAAACATCTTGACCTCACCGGTGTTTATATTTACATTTCATTCTACCCTAGAAACAACTTATTTCAATCAGATCTTCACAATGTTAATCTGAGTTTTAATGAGTAATTTGACACATATCTTAAAATACTACTGGGCATGTAAGTTTACTTTTTAAATACATTACCCTGGTTATTTAATGAAGGTGAAATGCTGGATAATAATTGGATACATAAATATTTTTACGCAATCTCAGAGTCTAAAAATGCAAATTGTGCAGAATGAAATAATAATATAAACAGATGTAGAGCAACTTCATTGACTGGACTCACTAGCCATGATAAAAAATGTCTATCACACATAATGTCTTCAACATAATAAAAAAAAATCACTTTATTTTCAGGACATAACAAGCAATGATAAAAGAAGTACATTTGATAAGAGGTCTCAAATACAAAAGGAGAAAAAAAGCAACAGCACGAATTATTCTTAATAATTTCATTAGCTAGAATTCAATTGCTATAAAGTAAGTTAATCAGGTACGAAATCTCTAATACAAATGGAAGACAACTTATTATACAACACAAACTATTTTACAAACATACAAACATTTTCTACTCACCGGTCTGCTGGGTGGACAGCTGGATGCACAGCATGCCAAACAGGCAAAACACAAGCATTTTGGTCATCATTTTGATTGGTGGGTTTTGGAAGTCTTCGGACTTGGTGAGAAGATTCTTAGGATGGTTGGAAGGCGTTGTGATATTGTCACTGTCAGTCCCAGCTTTTATAGGAATCTACCGAGCTGTGGAAGACGTCACGATTTATTGGTTCTAGTGTCAACGTTGCCCCACCCCCCAAATCATTGTTTATGCAAATGATTGATACTTAAAATGAAACCAAACAAACAGCATAGATGAAGTGGGATAGCGTCTGATCCTGATGCCATTAAATGCAAATGAGACCAAGTGATAAAAGCTGCTACGTCATAGCTAACTTACGCAAACATTTTGGTAATGAGATGCAGTGAATAAATGAAACGAGTCTGCCCAAGAGCCATATATTACTTTAAACACCAAATATTTTTTCAGATAGTTGAAAACTGAAGTTAGACTTTTAACATATGCGCTAGTGCCAGAGGACGTCAGACATATAAACTCGTGAATCAATGGATCCCATACCGCAAATTCACGTACGACTTAGTGGTCCGTAGTTTCAAGTTTAAGAACCCTCATATTTTGTTATATTTAATGACGCAACGGTTATCGTTCTACATTTTTTCTTCAATACTAAAAGAAATATAAGTAATTACTCGATTACCCCCCCAAAAGAGCACATTTTTCATCGTGTTTTGATCGTGATCAATCATGGAATTTTGTGCAGAGAAATGTTAAAGGAATACCTTTCGTCTTGGTGTTATGTAGATACGTTAAAATAAAGTACGTTTAAGAGCATTTTTTCCCCCCAAAAATCAAATCCTTAAACATAGGATTCTAAACGAATGAAATGAATGCGTTACATTAAAAGAAAGTCAACCACCACAAAATCGGGAATATTGTCATTCATCCAATTACAAATTACGGAATATAGTCTGATTAGATATATTTAGAAATATATATTGTCCTTTTGAAGAGATGAATTCTTTTAGGCCTGATATATAAAAAAAAAAAAACAACTGAGTTAAGTCCTAAAACATAATTCCGTAGGTTTGATAATAACATTTTTAGTCGAGAAATGTTTATAAAATACGTTTTTTTCTTGATGATAAGTAGATACTATAAAGCAACGTAAATTTGAGGGAAAGATCGAATCCTTAAACATCTCGAAACAGAACTAATTAAAGGAATGCATTATTTAAGAAGAAAGTTAACCACCACAAAAGTTTTAAAATGTACTTTCCAAAAACGAAAATAAGAAACTAATGGTTAGTTTATTGCAAAAAAAATAAAAAATTAAAAAAAAAATATACAGAAATGTTTAAAGAGATAATAAAGAATCAAAGTATCCTCACATCCATGGCAAGACTTTAGTTTTGTAGCATTCATTCTAGTATCTGGTGCTGCAATATATTTATTACGTTCAGAGGCGTAGCGAGGGGGGGCAGGGGGGACAGATGTCCCCGGCGCAAGCTAGTTAGGGGCGCCAAAATTGGCTTTAATATTATATTATTGGTAAAAATAATGGGTTTGTGAGTTGAAAAAAATAAAAGAGGGCGCTTTAAAATGGATCTTGTTCCCGGGCGCGAATCTTGTCCCCGGGCGCCTAACACCCTCGCTACGCCTCTGATTACGTTACTGGACTGAAATTAAAATTCATTTATTTGAGAGAATACAGAATAAACCTATAAATGTTTTGCATGCATATTGGAGGCAATTTTATTAAAAAATTCTTTTCCATCGGACATTAGTGCTATAGGATATATGCGCTTCTAGAGAAGAGTTTCGCTTCTTTAGACAAGGGTTTACAATCTTTTGGTAATATTGTGCAAACGTTGGAGGCTTAATTCATGCAAAAACCTTCCCTGAAAAAGGCATCATTTTTTACTCTTAATTCATAATTTTCTTTATCTTCTGCGTGTAATTGAAAGTCGCCCTGCGTGTCAAGTCTGGCACACGTGCCGTAGGTGGCCAAACCCTACTACAGAACCTTTTCAGGCGTCTGGCCCTTGTGGAGAACACGTTTCTCACATGTGGTATTTAGAAACGTTGACATAACCATTGTCGTCCTGGTCACTGATGGATCAAGAAACATGGGGCTGACGGTAACAATGTGAGATCTGTAGAGCGGGACACGTAACCACCACCCATGATCCTGAATATCCCTCTTCTAGAGACGTTGGCTTAAAGTAGCGAATGTTGTACCAGTTTTCTGACCATTTTTTAAAACTTGTCCTATTTCTCTAAGACACCGAAGCAAACTGTCACATGGATATTTAAAAATATTCCTCGATTTTTTTAACGTGATAAAGCCATTAAAGTTATTGGGCAATATCCTGTGTTTAAATATTAACTACACTAGAATATATAGCCCGATGTTATCGAGGTAAAAATGGAGGCATATTTCTCCACTTTCTATCGGCTCTTTCCGCGCGGTTTCAACATCTAAAATCCAAATAATTAGGCATATATCTGAATATTTTTTTAATGTATTGCATCTTCGAAAAAAAAATATATGACAATTTTCATTGAATATTTAGTAAATATCAAAACAGACTTTCGCTATATTAAAAAAAATAAATAATTTTTGTATAGATATTTAAGTTTCTTAAATCAACGGGTTTTCAGAATTTTTTAATGCCTATAATATCACGGCGTAAATAATGTGTCCGTTATCGGTATAGCTATTTTTTGTGAATTTGGTGTAGAGATTAATTGTGCAGCTGCTGCTATGTAGTTTGCATTGGTGAAGTTTTTGGGTATAAGATATCAAATTCGGATAACACGAAATTCTAAAGAAGAATCGGGAAAACCTAGCGCCAGTTGACAAGTGAATATGGCACAGGAAGAGTAAGTAATCTGAACCCCGAATTAAACAAGGCAGCCACTCCAAAAGGATAAATTTGGGCCATTTTCCACAAATTTTAAACAGTTCCTCAATGCAGGATTTCATTGTTGATTCCTATTTAAAGGCCAAAAGCAAATCGTTTCAAAATGTTTCGACAAAAATCAAAACACAGCAAGAGCTGAAGATCGATTTGTGAACAACCACAATCTGGAAGTTAACACATTGCTCGGAAAGAAAGTTATATTGCCTTAAAACTTCACAAGGAGTCCAATAAATACGGCTCAAAATTACCAAGATGCCATGGTCCTTGTCATAATATATGGCTGAACTGACATATTTGTAACATTCACGTTTAATCCTAAATGACAGAAATCATGAAATCATAGAATTCTGCATGGCGTACGACCCACGGGGTCCATTAAATCCAAACGCACCGTGTATGGGAAACGACAAGCGCACAAAAGTATTCCCAAACGATTCCTGTGTCGTGACCAATGTCAATTGTTACGCCAAGATGATGGTTACTTTTTTGAACTCGAGGAAAACAAAGTGTGTAACAGATCAGCTACAACAGATCAGCTACAACAGATCAGCTACAACAGATCAGCTACAACAGATCAGCTACAACAGATCAGCTACAACAGATCAACTACAACAGATCAGCTACAACAGATCAGCTACAACAGATCAGCTACACAATTCACATATGTGTCTGATTTTATTATTATTATTTTTTTTTGCTGGCATCCGTCCGTCCCAGGGTGACGATGTGTGGTATTCGCAGGACGAAACCCGCAAGGCCTGGGATTACTCTTCAAGGATTATAGGCTGGTTCCCTACAGCAAATCGCCTCTCTCCACGCCGCTGGATAACCCAAGGGAACATCATGTGGATGATACAGCCTGGCACCAGTGGCGTCGCAGGAGTTTTCATTGTACCAATGTTATCCGCCTTACGGGACCTAGTTTCAAAGGAAATCGCATCCACCATTCCCCCCCCCCCTTTTTTTTTTCAACTTCACTGAGTTCTGAGGTAGTCTATGCCTAGACTTATGGAACTGTTTCCACAACGTATCCAAAAACTTTAACTCCATTTCCGACATTACTGTAACACGCATTTATTTATTTTTGAAAGAAAATCAAAATTTTTACGAATGTATTGTTAACGGATTCAAATATTTTGTTATTCTTATAATATTGTACACATTCTTTTTTCATCCAATTAAAATGAGTTGACTGTAGGAAGTTAAGTACACTATTTAATTAGTCTTAAAACTGTATAACAATTTCCGCTCTGTAACCTATTTGAAACACAAAATAAGTCTTTAAATTATTATATTATTTTTTCTAACTTAGAATACATATTTTCACATATAAGCATATTGATTTTATCAGAATTAAATTGATTCGATTTCGGTGAAATAAAACATGAATTAGTATAATATTTTATAATTGTTTTATAGAAATCACTTTTTGTGCAGTAATTTTAGTTTTCGTGGCAATTTTACACAAAGCTACATGATGTTTGTAGACATTATTGAGCATTTTAGGGTTCGTTCAAAAATTACGTCACGCTAAAAATTACCTATTTTGACCCCTCCCCCTCCCGCTGTCACGAAGTATCACATATTCTTTACTCCCATCCCCCGTGTCACGTCACACCTAAATAAAATTCAAAACATGCATAGAATTTTCATAACTAAACTAAGATTTAATTTTATTCCTTAACATTTTCCCATAATGGATTAAGATTTAGTATTATTAGAAAACTAAATTTCATAGTATCTATAAACCTGAGGCAATTTGGACCACAAATTAATGCTGTTAGAATTAATTAAATAAAGATTTTTTTTCAAAATTAGAAAATTTTAGATTTAAAAAAAAGAAAAAACAAAAAAGAAGTGACGTCACCCTGTTACAAAGTGTCACAAATTTTCGACCCCCCCCCCTCCCCTCCTTGCACCATTATTTGCAACGGAGATGTAAGTTCTCCTGCCGGATGTCAAGCACTGAGCGTCCCAGTCATATCGACCTGCAAGAAAACCTGGGCTTTGGGTTTTCAGTGCGTCTGTAAACAAACACTTAAGTTTCGTTGTATGCGTTATGTTTACAAAAAAAGGCGTCCTGAGCCCAAAGTTTCGGTGGTTAACTTAGTAACCCTCAGCTTTGAAATAAATATTGCTGGCGCGCGTGTCGAGTTCATTGAACTGTATAGTATATGACAAGGAATAATAAGTAAGAAGTTATAAATCGGGGACGGAAGGGGGAATAACCCGGACACAGGCCACATTTCTGGAAAGCCGCCCCGACGCCCGTCCAGGGGCCTAAAAAGTAGACACTTTCGGATACACGGTAACCCTAGTCTTATATAATATATTAGCTACAAACCCGCCAAACAAAGGCGGCCATAATGTTTGAACTTCCCATCTTCTAAGATTGCTTGACAAACTGCCCCTCACCCATCTTATACCACAGATTTATCACAACATATTTAAATGAGTCTATTTCCGTAAAATTAAGGAGATAATAATACGCACCAACCGCAGCTGTGGTATTTTTAAGAATCCCCTTTACGCCAGTCATCGAGGATTTTATTTTGCGCGCTATCAAACCTTAGCGATTGTGATTGGATATTGGTACAGAGAGTGTTATGCGCGTTGATATGGCATTTACATAAACAAGAAAGGTGTCAAGTGTGAATAAGTAGCGTGAAGCTTTATTAAATCCTAATGTAAGCAATAAGCCTTTGCCATCGAGTAATACCGTTCCTCCAACGGACGGCAATGTTTGATTATCCCGATCAACACAAGGAAGCGGAGTCTGCACCGTAGGCATGAAGGCAAGACGAGGTGAACAGACATGGTCAGTAGTTGTTTGGGCCGGAGGCAATAATTACGGGTAATAGGTCAAATATTGCCAAACTTGTTATTGAGTCCCCTGCCATTTGCTTGCTCAAATTGAGCATTAGGCTTAGGCTGAGTAGGATCTGATCATAGTTCTCCTGGTTACTCACCCTAAAGGCTTCGTACCAAGATATCCCTCGTATATCAGAGATGTTTTTTGCAGAAATTGTCAGTGGCATGGTAATGAGATCAATCCTTTAAAAACCACTCTGTCTCCCTTACTTTTCAAAATTAAGCTAACTAAATGATAGTTTCGAAATGGCTCTTCAAAGCTATAGAAATATAGGAATCAAGCTATCCGATTGTAAATTAAGATCATTTGGACATACTACATAAGATGTTCTTAGGCTGAGGGAAATCTTATGATGATGGATTTTTTAATATTTTGAATGATTTATGCATTAGGCCCTTATGCTTAGGAGAAGTAGAGTAGTGGGGAAGTGGGGTAATGGTGGGGAATAAAAAACGTGGGAGTGAGCATGTGGAAGTGTAGAGAAATCTGGGGAGTGGGGACGTGGGGGGGGGGGGGATTGAGTGAATAGTTAGAGTGAAAGTGTGGGTAGTGGGGAAGTGAGGAAGTGAGGAGTGGGGAAGTGAGCAAGGGGGGCAGTAAGAGCGGGAGTTGGGTATGTGGAAGTGTAGAGAAATCTGGGGAGTGGGGACGTGGGGGGGGGGGAGATTGAGTGAATAGTTAGAGTGAAAGTGTGGGTAGTGGGGAAGTGAGGAAGTGAGGAGTGGGGAAGTGAGCAAGTGGGGCAGTAAGAGCGGGAGTTGGGAAGTGGGGGACTGAGGAAGTGAAGGAGTGAGGAAGTGTTGGAAGTGTTTGAGCGGGGGAGGGCGGGAGGTGGTAATCAGCACCTGACGACGTAGAGTGAAACCCACAATTTAAGAAATGATTCTGATATGGCTACTGTGTTTACGAAGCTATTTGCGGCATTCTCTTGTGTTTGATGAATAGTGGACAAAGATAAGAAATAGGAGATACATAGAGACATGCGCAATGAGCTTTCTGCTAGGAGACTTTGATCAGGCATTAACAAAAGGGCTGTCATTACTTTACCAAGGCCAACATTCACATGAATATTAATTGACCAATGAAGAAGTTAGTGAGCAATACTTATTATATTATCTTCTAAAGCTTTTGCTCATTAATTATCCTGCTTTATAAAGATTAAATTTGGCTTGATCAAATTAATTTATGAAAGTATAAAGTTTCTTTGGTATTTTTATCAACTGTTTGAATAACTTGTGCATTTTATTGTCTACCATCGATAGTCAAGCAAATTTGTACTGTGATAGTTTTGTTCTTATAAAGAGGTAAAACCAAGGACACTAAAAGTGGGTGAATGGCCCAAAGGTTTGGTAGCAGGAAAAAGTTTTAGAACAACTGGTCTAATAGGTAATCGATTTCAAATACATCGATCGGCTACACAGAGCTTCGTGATGAGGTCATTATTTCATATAAAATGTTGATGAATGTTTGTTGTCATATTTTTAAATTGTGTTTAATGAGGGTAAAACTATAAGTGGACTGTTTTAAATGTTAAGAAAAAGTTTAAAACATCGATTGAATGAGCAATACAATCAAAACATCTGCACACATTAAACAATGGAATTAATAAAATAAAAATAGTTCAAAGAGGATGACTTTATTGTTTGTAATTTCTTTTGTCTTTCATATTTTCAATGCAAAACAAGGAATTTTCAAGGCCTAAAACAGATATAGGTTTTAGATATTCATACTTAAAATGTGAATATCTTTCTCACAATATAAATTTTCTATTTTTTCCTGGCAGCTTGGCAGGCGGCCAGACAGTCCTCGGTAGTTTCAAAATTGTTAGCGTTTCCTTGACAACCTCCATACTCGAATTCCTCACATGCACCGGTGACTTTGTTGAAATAAAAGCGCTTGAATATTCCCCTGCAAGGTCCTGCGTCTTTTTCCAGGTCACAAGTTGCTGTAGATGAAATGAAAGAGTTGATTGGTTATAGCAACTCAGATTGTGGTGAATAAATACATTTAAGTGAATTGAGGTGCAATGATAAGTATGGATTAGATATCCGATATAACATTCTGATGAAATTTTTTTAAAAATTAGTTGAGATGAAACGGACAGAATAGCTTTGCTAATTTAAAAGTAGCGTTTACCCTACATAAGTAGCGTTTACCCTACATAAGTAGCGTTTACCCTACATAAAAGAATCAAGAATTAAAATAATATGAAAACACTTCTGCAGATGGAAGACATGAAACAATCTGAAAACAACATAGTTAATAGTTAGCTGCATTGATTGACGTGAACACAACACTGTTGAATAATGATTGACGTGAACACAACACTGTTGAATGAATGAATCACTTGACGGGCATGTAAGTTATCATTTTAAATTCATTCCCCTGGTTATTCATTTAATGAAGGGGCAATGATAGGTTAGAAAATTGGATATATTATACATATATTAGATAATCACGCAATCTAATGGCCTAAAAATGAATTTGTGTCTAATAAAATACATAGAAGTTAAAGCAACTTCATTGAGAGTACTCGATACAAAAATGTGCATCACATAAGATGTTTCCATTTTAAAAATGTAAACATTCACTTATTTTCTAGACATTACTAGTCATGATAAAAGTAGTATACGTGATATAAGGCCTCCAATACGAACGGAAAATTTCCAAATCATGAATTATATGTAATAAATTCGTTGGCTAGACTTCACTAGCAACATTAAATTAAGCTAATCAGGCACTATATCTTCAACACAAAAAGGTACATTTAAACAAAACAAACTATTTTACAAACATACAAACACTTTCTACTCACCGGTCTGCTGGGTGGACAGCTGGATGCACAGCATGCCAAACAGGCAAAACACAAGCATTTTGGTCATCATTTTGATTGGTGGGTTTTGGAAGTCTTCGGACTTGGTGAGAAGATTCTTAGGATGGTTGGAAGGCGTTGTGATATTGTCACTGTCAGTCCCAGCTTTTATAGGAATCTACCGAGCTGTGGAAGACGTCACGATTTATTGGTTCTAGTGTCAACGTTGCCCGCCCTCGCCATAGTTTATGCAAATGATTGATACTTAAAATGAAATCAAACAAAGAACATAGATGAAGTGGGATAGAGTGTGGTGATGATGCCATTAAATGCAAATGAGTCCTAGTGATAAAAGCTGCTACGTCATAGATTTTATAACTTAGTCAAGTCACCGAGTTCTACTTTAAGGACTTGTAAAACAGCGCAATCGTTACAGTTCGGTAATGAGATACAGTCAATAAATTAAACGAAATTGATCACGAGCCACATATTACTTTAAAAATGAACAAAAAATATTTCCGAAAGCTGAAAGCTGAAGTTAGAGTTTTGAACATATGTGCTAGTGACATATGACGTCAAACATACGGACAAGGAATCTTATCATGGACATTCATGTACCACCTAGTGGTCCGTAGATTCAAGCTTAAGAACCCTTGTATCTTTATGATCTTGAAAGTTGAAACCATGATAGTACAACTCCCCCACCCCCCTTTCGATACTTAATAGAGATACAAGTAGTTTTGCGATTCTACCTAAATGAGCAATTTATCATTATACATTGGATGTGAACATATTTTGAATTTTTCAATAGAGAAAAGTTCAGCAATTGAACTTTCCTTAGAAATTATCACATACGTTGAAACTTTGTATTTTGAGGGTGAAAATCCTTTAAAAATAGGATTGTGAACGAATCAAATGAATTGGTAATAGAAAAAGAAAGTAAAGTATCACAAAGTCATCCAGAAACAATTGACAGAATATTATTTTAGCATGTTTTTCTCCATTTAAATGATGAACTTTTTAGACAGGCTATAATGAGAATTACGTGCTAAAAATAATTAAATAGGTCTCATGAAGTCTCTAAAAACAAATTACTCATACCGGTACATGTTTGTTTTTTTAAACGTAATATGGTTAATCCAAATAAATTTTTTAAAAAAGTTCCTTCTTAAATCAGACAAAAAGTAACAAGCGGTTAGTTGAATGCAAAAAGACGCACACCATTGTTTGAATACTGAATCAAGGTATTCACAAAACCATGGCGAGACTTTTTGTTTGGTAGAAGTTATTGCTAATTTATTAGCATTTATTAGAATTTAATATTAATCCTTTGCTGAATTTCTGTTTAAATATGTTTTGGTGATGTAATACAGAATGATCCAATACATTTTTTTGTTAGCATATTGGACGTAACATTGACTCGCTATATTATAGGCACATAGCTTTTTAGCATATTTGCGCTGCTACAGGACAGTTCTCTGGACCATGTGTTGAATATTGTGCACACGTGTGATACATAATTCATTCAGCGTGCCAACAATCTACTCTTCACAGGGATATTATTTTTTAGTCTTTTAGATATATATTTGGTCTCCTACGGAAGCTCTACGAGTCATTGAAAATCGCTCTACGTGACAGGTCTGACACGCGTCCAGTAGGTGGCCACAGCCTGCTGTAGAACATTTGCAGTATGTACAAACGTTGCCCTAGCCATTGTCACCCTTTTCACTGATAGATCATGACAAAATGGGACATGCGGCAACTAAGTAAGGCAAGTAAGGCGTAACACGTGACCACCACCCATGATCCTGATTATGATAATTCTAGATACGTTAGATTTAAGTATCGAATGTTGTGGCCATTTTTCTGACTACGTTTATGAACTTTGACCTATTTCTCTAAGGAAATGGACTTTGTACCTTTCCTCTAGTCACTTAACTTTGTTCTATTTTGTTAAGTCGCTTAACTTTTCCCAAGCTTTCGACAACTGTGTACCCCTGTCTATAATTTCGTAACACCGAGAACCCCTCGTTAAAAAAATTGCATATACATAATTTATAAAAAATTTTCTTTTTTTTTTTAGCGCGTACCTCCCTCAAACTCTTCTAGTACCTCCAGGGGTACGCGTACCACACTTTGGGAATCACTGCTCTAAGGCTATGACGTCTCAATCATATAGAAGTATAGAATAGTCCAAATTTATTATTATGTGAAAATGTCATCAAGAATTCACTGGCATTGACCTGTGTGTAAATATTAACCCCACGGCCTGTACACATGCAATAAAGGTGTTGAGTGTTGCCAAGTAAGGTGAAGCTTTACTAAAGACACAATGTAGTACAAGGATGTAGTGTGTCGTAAGTGCTGAGATATCCGTAATCGTGAAGGATTTGTGAAATGTTTTTAATGGAAGAAACGTATGGGAAAGGCTTGGATCCGGAGATCCACGTTCATGTTTTTCTTTTTATGCTATTCAAAATGAAGATTTTGTGCTGCGGCTGTGCGGTCGGTCGGCCATGAACGTTTGATGTCAGTTGTTTTGGGTGCATACAAATGAACGTCTTTCCTGTGCGCAGTGCGTAGACAGCTCTGCTCATGACATGAGTGCATTGAGTTGGGTGCAGACAAATGAACGTCTTTCCTGTGCGCAGTGCGTAGACAGCTCTGCTCATGACATGAGTGCATTGAGTTAGGTGCATACAAATGAACGTCTTTCCTGTGCGCAGTGCGTAGACAGCTCTGCTCATGACATGAGTGCATTGAGTTGGGTGCAGACAAATGAACGTCTTTCCTGTGCGCAGTGCGTAGACAGCTCTGCTCATGACATGAGTGCATTGAGTTGGGTGCAGACAAATGAACGTCTTTCCTGTGCGCAGTGCGTAGACAGCTCTGCTCATGACATGAGTGCATTGAGTTGGGTGCAGACAAATGAACGTCTTTCCTGTGCGCAGTGCGTAGACAGCTCTGCTCATGACATGAGTGCATTGAGTTGGGTGCAGACAAATGAACGTCTTTCCTGTGCGCAGTGCGTAGACAGCTCTGCTCATGACATGAGTGCATTGAGTTGGGTGCAGACAAATGAACGTCTTTCCTGTGCGCAGTGCGTAGACAGCTCTGCTCATGACATGAGTACATTGAGTTGGATGCACCCAAATGAACGTCTTTCCTGTGCGCAGTGCGTAGACAGCTCTGCTCATGACATGGGTGCATTGAGTTGGGTGTTCATTTACTTGACGTCTGAACTTTGTGAAAAGTATCATGATTGAATAATCTTTCCCAGGTTTCCTAGGTTTATACGAACCAAGTTCTGATATTAACAAAGTTTAGGAGACATCTAAGATAAACAGGAGTTATTAATGTCTATTAAACTAAGATTGAAACACGGAAAAAAGGGGGGGTGAGATTTGTAATGGCCCCCAAAATTTAATTAGCCCAGGACCTGTCTTTATGTAACTCCGCTCCTGGTTACTGTTTCTGTAAGCTGTAAGCTATAGTAGATTGCGGTCATTTTCATTGGTTTTAGACAGGGGCGTCATTTGGTTAGGGCAGGGTGTGGCATTTGGCCACCCCCTTGAATTTCCAGGTTTTATTTAAATGGCTTTGCCTCCAGTAATACTTGAGGTGACCAGGTTTTGGTTTTGCCCCCCCCCCCGGCCACTCCCACCCGTGAAAAGACCTGAAATAACGCCCCTGGTTTTAGATTGTGGTGGGCAGGGTGTGGCATTTGGCCCCCCCCTTGAATTTCCAGGTTTTATTTAAATGGCGTTGCCCCCAGTAATACTTGAGGTGCACCGGTTTTGGTTTTGCCCCCCCCCCCCCGGCCACTCCCACCCGTGAAAAGACCTGAAATAACGCCCCTGGTTTTAGATTGTGGTCCCTCTAATTTACCAGAGGGAATTGTATCAGGAGTACGTGATCGTTATTACTGCAGTTACTTAGTTTGAGAACACGTTCAAAGTGATGGATTAGGTTTGACGCTGTGCTGAGAACGATGAAGAGTTCTTTGGTTCATATGGACGTGTGTTGGCACAACTACCTCTCCTGGTTCTGATTGTAAAGAGCTCTTAACAAAAAAAAAATCTAAATCGGTTGCATGTGAATGAGCTCAGTCCTCTGAAATCAAAAAAATGTCTCCCTGACTGTGGTTTCAAAATTCCATGCCAGTGTTGATAGCATTACCAAGCTAGAAAAGAATTGTAAGGATCAAACTGACTGTGACATCATTTTTTATATATTACATAGGGCATTTTTAGCGTATTTAGGAATGCCGTTTGATGGAAGTATGGAGAGATGTATTTAATTTGAAAGATGGATGCAGCAGAGGAAGTGATGAAATGTATGTGATGACATCCAGCTGGACATTCAAATACCAGTTCAGTGATGAATGAATAATACCTTGCTAAAATACCCCCCAACACCCACATTAGTTTGTTTTAGTATTAGTTCCCCCTGTTGATTGACTTATTTGGTCGATAATTCCCTAATAGCATTGAACTGTCTCATGAACAGCTGGCAAAATCCCCCCCCCCCAACCCTCCTTTTTTTGTGTGGCCATAAGTAAGTTAACCCGTGTATATCTTTTTAATAACGTTTCTAAAATTGTACTTTATTGCTCTTGATCAACACAAGCTTGAGATCAGCCCATGACACGTTTGATAACTATAAATACAGATACCATGGTGGATTTAAATAAGCGTTCTTTCTAGATCATCACGTCATAGAGACCACCTCGTCATTTCTTGAGACTTAAAGCCGGCAAATCTAACCCCGTCAGTTGTTTGAGCAGTCGATGTCGATAATTTTCATGTATTTTAACACATTGCCTTCAAAGTTTGTTTTAGTCATGTCAATGTCTTATCAATTTCTTATAATGAATGGATAAGTATGATCATTGTGTTTTGCTATTCAACTCTCTGTTCAGCAAGCGTCTACAATTCGGGACACGTGGTGGCCATTTTGAGATTTAGTCATCTAAAAACGTCATAACCATCCTAGGAATGGTGAAGTAGAATTTAGAGAGTTGTTATCCCGCGCCACTTGTCGTGATATACTATATTAATATATGCTCTATATAGTTGATAATAATTCATTGTGTAATTAGTTAGTTAGTTTGTGTAGCTAAGATTGAGAAAAAATCTTTTGCCCAGCTTCAACGCTAGCCGTACATGCTTGCGCCGACCATGGTTAAGACAAACAATGTTGTCCACACATTGGATGTTTGTGTTTACGCTAATCACTCCTACAGCGCCTCGATCTGATCACGTTGTTGCTGAAAAGGGACAAGTCAGCTTATGACTATTGCAAGAAAATTTAGAATTTAGACTGCCCGAGTAGATTTTATTACAATAGTACGCCAACTCCATAAAGGTATTGGATAACTCTTGTTTGTTGATCACTGCGCCCTAAATGCAAGCTTGGAACTGAAAATGCCGTGAACACTTGATCCTGCGACAACAAAGGCTTCGCAGTCAATACGAAAAGAAAATATTAGAGATCATGCACCAGCCAGCTCCAGGAAAAGTTTAGAAAGAACCTAAAATATTAGTGATGGGACAGAATATCCAAGCATTGAAAAAATTAACATATATGGGCAGCACACTCTCCAGGTCAGTAACAATAGATGATGAGATCAATAACGGAATTTCTAAAGTAAATGTTGCATTTGGAAGACTCCGCAAGAATATTTGGGAGCTAAGGGGTCTCAGTCTTGTTACTAAGCTAAACGTATATAGGGCAATCATATTAACATCTCTCCTATATGCCAGCGAGACGTGGACAGTGTACAGCAGACATGCTAGACAACTAACCTATCTCCACCTACGTTATCTATGTAAAGTTATTTTCATAAGGTTGCAGAACAGAGTTTCTGATATGAGGTCCAACAACGGGCTGATTTTGTCAGCATTGACACGCTCCTACAAAAAAGACAACGTCAGATGTTGCAAGAATGCCAGACAGCAGACTTCCCAAACGACTAATGTTCGGTGAACTCATTTCAGTGGGAAATGCTCAGCTTGTCGGCAGAAGAAACGACTCAAGGACTGCCTAAAGGCTTCACTCAAATCCACGGGCATTGGCCTTGTTTCGTGGAAGTCCCTTGCTATGTATCGTGCAAGCTGACGGGGCAGACTCAGTGTCAGAGCACAATCCTCAAAGAGTAAGCGCACCAGTCACGCCCAAAGAAAGAGCACGGCAGGGAAAAGCAGAATCGACTTAAATCCTACTAGGACCTAAAAACAAAGTTTGTATAACGATATTGAGGTAAATCCGAAGTTAAAGAAGTAATACCAACTGTCTTAGCTACCGTGGAAGGTGATGTGTTGCATTCTCTTGCATTTGATAGAGAATGAACAAAGAAAAGAATTCGCATAAATATATAGACATAGGCAATTATGCTTCTGCTAAGAGACTTAAATCAGACTTTGAAAAGCTCAATAATGGCATGGATATTAAATGGCATGGATATTAAATGGCATGGATATTAAATGGCCTGTGAAGAAGTTAGTTTACTGAAACTTATTACATTATTATCTAAAGCTTTTGCTCATTAATTAAAATACTTTAAAAAGTATTCCGTTTTTCTTGATCAAATTAATGCATGAAAGTATAAAGTTTCTTTGGTATTTGGATTAACTGTTTGAATGTTTTACACTTGTACATTAATTGTCTTCCATAGGCAGTCTTGCAAGCTTCGGATTTTTTGGTACTTATAATTGGATAAGACAATGAGAACTTGCAAGATACCAACTCAAGTATGTGGTGTGTTTAGCAATAACCTTTATTCCTCATTCTACATTCTTTTTATACTTCATATCACTGCCAAAGGGGGCAGTGGCAGGAAAAAGTTTATGAACCAGTGTGTAAAATTTACCCTTGACTTAGACATCGGCGACGCCAAGCTGCGTGATTACGTCATTATAACATTTATAATCATAAATGGATGACATACATGTTATGTCAAATTACATTATGTGCATTAAAATTGTTTTGATTATGTTTAATATGTGCTTGTTAATAAATATGTGTTGTCATATTTTTGTTGACCGTGTTTAACTTGCTATATAAATAATCAATTCCATGTGTAATGTTGGTGTGGACTATATCTGCATTCTTTTAAAGGCTAAGGAAAGTTTTAAAACGACGATTGAATGAACAATATAACCAGAACATGCACTCAAATAAACAATGGAATTAATAAAACAACTTATTTCAAAGAGGATGACTTTATTGTATGAAATTTACTTTGTCTCTGATAGCGTCAATACAAAACAAGGAATTTTTCAATGCCTAAAATAGATCAAATACAGAAATAGGTTTTAGATTTTCATGCTTATGATGTGAATATCTTTCTCACAATAGAAATTTTCTATTTTTTCCGGGCAGCTTGGCAGTCGGCCAGACAGTCCTCGGTAGTTTCAAAATTGTTAGCGTTTCCTTGACAACCTCCATACTCAAATTCCTCACATGCACCGGTGACTTTGTTGAAAAAAAAGCGCTTAAATATTCCCCTGCAAGGTCCTGCGTCTTTTTCCAGGTCACAAGTTGCTGTAGATGAAATGTAAAGAATGGATTTGTTATAGCAACTCAGATTGTGGTGAAGAAATAAATTTAAGTGCATTTAGGTGAGATGATAAGAATGGATTTTTTATTGCAAATACTACACTGATAAACAGCTTTGCTAATTTAAAATATTGTTTACACTATTAATATACACTTTTAACAACTGAATCAAGAAATAAAATATTTTCAAAACACTACGGTAGATTGAATAGACGAGACCGTCTGAACAAGGCATATTTAAATGATTACTGCAATGATTGACGTGAAAAAGGAATTGTCGAAAGAATGTATCACTAAAAGATATAGGTTCATGATGTTTATAAAATATCTTTAATACAATGGTGTTTATATTTTCATTTTGTTCTATCCTTCACTACATTTATCTGAGTTGAAATGATTAATTAGACACATGTCTTAAACATACCTATGGGCATGTAAGTTATCACTTTAAATTCATTTCGGTGTTTTAATGAAGGGGCAAGGATAGATGAGCATTAAATATATATATATTGCTACGCATTTATATAGACAAAAAGCCATTTGTGGAGAATGAAATAATAAAATACATATAAGTTAGAGCAACTTTATTGACTGGGCTCACTAGCAATGATAAAAAGATACATCAGATATGATGTCCCGAATAGAAAAGAAGAAAATTCATAAGAACGAAATATTTTTAATAAATTTATTGACTAGATTTCACTATTCACTTTAAATTAAGCCACTCAGATACAAGATCTCTAATACGAAATAATTTTTTTATAAAAAACACAAACCTTTTTACAAACATACAAACACTTTCTACTCACCGGTCTGTTGGGTGGACAGCTGGATGCACAGCATGCCAAACAGGCAAAACACAAGCATTTTGGTCATCATTTTGATTGGTGGGTTTTGGAAGTCTTCGGACTTGGTGAGAAGATTCTTAGGATGGTTGAAAGGCGATATTGTCACTGTCAGTCCCAGCTTTTATAGGAATCTACCGAGCTGTGGAAGACGTCACGATTTAGTTGTTCTGGTGTCAACGTTGCCCCCACCCCCATAGTTTATGCAAATGATTGATACTTAAAATGAAATAAAACAAAGAACTTAGACGAAGAGGAAAATCGCTGGTAACATTAAATGCAAATGAGATCTGGTCATAACAACTGTTCAAAATATCTGACCCAGTTAGGGAAGCACTAAATTCTGAGTTCTATTTTAATGATATTTTTGAACTTATTGTAAACATGGACATCGTTACAGTTTGTTAATGATATGCAGTGAATACATTAACTCAAGAGCCATATATTACTTTCAAAAACACATGCATTTCAGAAAGTTTAAAAAAAAGACATTTTTAACGGATTTCCTATTAGCAGCAGAACCCAATAGTCTAGAGTCATGATAAAATGGATCTCCTACCTGGCCTACTCGTACAATTCAGTTGTCCGTAGTTTCAATTCATAGGACCCTCATAATTAGCTATGGACCATGGGCTTTAATGATATAAAAGTTATTATATTAGCTTATTTTCCTTAAGGTAATTTTACGATCATCATCATAGGAGTAATGTACCATTATGCTGTAAAGGTTTTCTAATGTGGAACTCCTAATGGAGAAACGTTTCACATTATCATTATCTCTCTGCTTGATTCTGAGCACGTACATTGAAAAAGTTTAAGTTTTATTTTAAACAAACAGCAAAAAAAATAATTAATTTTTAACAGTCATCCAAAAAAAAAAAGTAAACTAAATGAATGAAATAAAAGAGTTATTAAAAGGAAGTTCACTACCAAACTATCAAGAATAGTTTCAGTAATCATTTTCCAATTTACTGAATGTTGTTTCAGTAGATATTTATAAAGATGAACATTTTTAAGGCATCATATATATAACTGAGTTAACTCTCCTAAAATATCTTTCAATAAGTTTAATAATGTTTTAGTCATTTTAAAGAAAAACGTGCTAAGTCGCACAATATAATACAATAGGTCTGTTAAATAATTTTTAAAACTCCCATAGAAATATTATTCCCATTATATAATAGAAACTAATAAAATTAAAATAAAATGACTACAAATCCATCACTCCTGGCTTCGTCACTGGCCTCTTAAAAAGATTTGACATCCCCTCCCTCAAGGACGGACGAGAAAAGCTTCGTCTCATATTCTTCTATAAAGTGGTCATGGGGCTAGTGCCGGCCATCCCAGCAAACGCATGTCACCCCATAGAATCCAGGTCGATTGATCAGAGCAAAACGCTCAATAAACACTGACTTCAACTCTGACAACCCCAGAAGCAATTACATCCGGAACAATAGCCAATGCTTCACCTGTGCCTGGGTGTAACACAGTTCAATATAAACAATCATTCTCCCCATGAATAATAATTGCTTTCAACCACCTGGACAATGCCTCAACATCAATCAAAGGCTTCAACGCTGCCCTGGCATCTGCTAGGAGCTATTAGGATAGCAACATGGTTTCCACAACCGTTGCACATATGCCAGTGTATGGAACACTACCAGAACTAGAACCAGAACAAACTATTGGTTGTAAGCTGTTTTTTTAAATGAAAAAACGACATTAAAGCAAGGTTTGAAGAAATAATAATGTCTAAGGAGATATTAGTTAAAAAAATATTTTTTTTTGCTGCCATCCGTCCATCCCAGTGTGACGATGGTGTGGTATTCGCAGGACGAAATCCACAAGGCCTTGGATTATTCTTCTAGGATTATAAGCTGGTTCTCTAGAGCAAATCGCCTCTCTCCACGCCGCTGGATAACCTAAGGGAACATCATGTGGATGATACAGTGTTTCATTGTACCAATGTTATTCGCCTACGGGACTCCATCTCCGGGTATTGATATCAGAGTTTCCTTCTCTTAGATGAGTTGACGTCCAAGGTTAACGAGTCCCATCCACCAGGGGTGCTGGTGATGTCTTTGCTTTACTGGACAATGCCGGGATTCGGTGGGGAAAGAACTCTAGACCACCAACTTGAGATTTGTTTAGTTTAGACTCTAGGCCACTCAGCATCCTGCAAGACGACAGTCGTATTTTGTAGAATTCATTCCACTTTTTATTGCAGCAATATATTTAATTGGTTACTGAATTTAATTAAAATAAATTTATATTAGTAATACAGAATAAACCTATAAACGTTTTGCATACATATTGGAAGTAATTTAGTTTCATTTAGAAAATTTGCCCTTTTTCAGAATAGGGCTATTCAACTTGCGGAAGGCGAGGAACAGCCGGTCAGCGGAGTCGTAGGAAGGGGCCTGCAGATTATCGCCACAACGGTAAAATACAATTATAAAATCAATTAATGTGTTTTATAAAAATCTTAAAAACTGGATATTTTAAAAATACTTCCAGCATTTTATTATCTCTTATTTTATACATATAGGCAACCAGCATGATAGATCTAGTTCTTTCTGGTAGCCGTATGTACCTACTTTGGTTAGAAGGATTTTATTTGTTTGGGAAAGTTTAAAACATCAAATAAGCGAATTCGGAAAAAAAAATTAGAGTGAGACAACGCCAGAAGTAAGGTAGAAAGATAAATGTTAATATAATAGATATACTTAATGCCACCACCTTCTACAGACAAGCAAATAATGTTTAAGTGTCAGTCTAGCTGGCATTGTATGATTTCTATAACAATATAATGATTATGTGTGGGAAATATTTTACCTACTTAATTACTTATTAATCAGATTTTCGTTTCTTTCCAAACACAACAAAAAATCATTGCTGGACACGATTGTTAACTAATTGAAAAAGTAACGTGTCTAAATATTCTTAATTTTAATAATACAGTACATTAATTGGCATCATGGCTGGTGAGAAAACGAAGTTGGATTGTGAAAATCGAGCAATCCACAACCATTGGACATTGACATATAACTGTGTATCAAATGACTGTGCCTATTTCGACACCAATTTGCTTGTTATGCAAGGAACGTGTGACCACGGAATTTCACGTAAAGCAGAACTCACAACGAGACGTGAAGAGGTTGTGAATCTTATATGGAAGGTCCCACTGCTAGAAAACCAAAGGTTGGGTCATTGGTCGCTTCTTATCAGCTAACTCAACAAGAAAAGGTTACAGCGGCTTCATGGCAATTGGTCTGGATATTAGCCTTGAAGAAGAAGAAGACTTTCATTGATTCATAAACCGTGAAAGAATTGATACTAGCAGTTTTATACGAATTAGTAAATGATGGCACCCGCCCTCCACAATGTGACGATCGTGCAGACTTCGAATCACGAAATCCACAAGGATTTTAAGCTGTTTCCCCAGATAGCAAATCGCCTTATGCACGCCCCTGGATAACCCAAGGGAACATCATGTGGATGATACAGCTTGACACCAGTGTCGTCGCCGGAGTTGTCGGAGTATTTCCACTGTATTAATGTTAACCGCCTTCGGGGCTCCGTCTCCAGGTTTGATTTCAGTTTCCTTCTCTTAGATGAGTTGCCATCCAAGGTTAACGAGTCTCATCCACCTTGCCTGGGGATTGAACGCCAGACCATGAACTTGGGATCAGTTTAGACCACTCAGCCACCCTCGAGTTAGTGACGATCAAATAACAACGAGCGTAACGCATACATTTCAGTAGATCCCTATGTCAGATACTTAGACTATATGCAGAACTATACGTGGGAACGGAAGTTTTTGAATATTTAATTGAAAGCATAAAGCTTGCAGAATTATTGTCAATAGCCATTGATGAATGTACTGATAACACGGACGTGGCTCAGTTACATTTAAATGTGCGTTTTTTTAAAATTACAATTGTTTTCGTGAAGAACTGCTGGCTTTAATAGCATTTGAAAATTTCAGTTTTCTTAGTTCTAATAAAATTATTTGTTGTTTGTTGACTAGTTAAGGTACAGCACTTGGTCTTTTTTAAGTATCAAGGAAAAGAGAATATTTTTTCTTTAAAATTTTTTTCTTATGAAGACAGGGAAATAAAGTAAAGTGTCAACAGACAATGCATTCTTTGGCAATTTTTTTTTTAAAGATTAGTTTCCTAATGTGAACACATGGAACTTGCAACTGCAAGGAAGATTCAAGACAATTATTGATATGTTTGAAAAATTGAACGCCTTTCGACATAAGTTGTCTTTGTTTATCACGGATCTCTCTTAAGATTTTTACTGTGCTCTGTTTCTTGTCGTATTTTCATTTGTCCTGTTCGCTGAAGAAGTCTCTAAGCCAAAACGTTCAAATCGTATTGTCCTGTCGTTTGATTCAAGCTCCACCATCCTTGTTCTACCATTCATATACATAGCTTAAATGCAGTCCTTCAATAATTATAAAGTCCTCCAGCAAGTGATTTTTCTTCAAATGATGAGAAGTCACTATCCCCTATTGTTGGTTGTCCATTGCAAGCCATTACGAGAGCCAAAGAAACGGTTATTCGAGACCTCTTATTCTCTAATGACTGTGCCCTAAATGCAAGCTTGGAACTGAAAATGCAGCAAATACTCGATTGCTTTGCTAAGGCCTGAGACAAGAATAACATAGAATCAACCCCCCCCCCCTTCCCAAATCATACACCATACAGCTCCATGAAAAGCTTAGAAAAATCTAAAATATTAATGATGGGACAGAATCTAAATGCGTTGGAAAAATTCACTTATTTGGGAAGAATGACTCTTCAGTTCAGTAACAATAGCTTGTGAGACCAATAACCAAATTTTCAAAGCAGATGTTGCATTTGGAAGACTCCGCAAAATTTTTTGGGAGCGAAGGGGCCTCAGTCTTGTCACTAGGCTGAAATTACAGTCATCTTACCATCTCTTCTATACGCTAGCGAGATGTGGACAGTGTACAGCAGACATGCTAGACAGCAGACAGCAGACATGCTAGACAGCTAAACTTTCTTAGATACACTGCCTACGTAAACTAATAGTACCAGCATAATTTTTAATGTTGAGGGAATTTTTAAAAAGACGAGTGAAATAACGATACAATCAGAACGTGTACACACATTATACGATACAATCAGATCGTGTACACACATTATACGATACAATCAGATCGTGGACATACATTAAACGATACAATCAGAACGTGTACATAAATTAAACGATACAATCAGAACGTGTACATAAATTAAACGATACAATCAGAACGTGTACACATATGAAACAATGCAATTAATAAAACAAATTGTTTTAAAGCGTATGACTTTATTGTTTGAAATTTCTCTTGTGTCTTTCATAGTGTCAATACAAAGCCAGGAATTTTTAAGGCCTAAAATAGATCGAATACAGAAAAAGGTTTTAGATTTTCATGCTTAAAATGTGAATATCTTTCTCACAAAAGCATTTGTCTATTTTTTCCGGGCAGCTTGGCAGGCGGCCAGACAGTCCTCGGAAGTTTCAAAATTGTTAGCGTTTCCTTGACAACCTCCGTACTCGAATTCCTCACATGCACCGGTGACTTTGTTGAAATAAAAGCGCTTGAATATTCCCCTGCAAGGTCCTGCGTCTTTTTCCAGGTCACAAGTTGCTGTAGATGAAATGAAAGAATGGATTTATTTTAGCAACTCAGATTCTGGTAAATACATACATTTAAGTGGACTTAGCTGAAATGATAAGAATGGATTAGTTATATGATATAAGATTCTGATGAATAAATGTTTAAATTAGTTTGAGATGTAATGGACAGAATAGCTTTTATAATTTAAAATCTTGTTTACACTATAGAGTAGACTCAAGGGATAAAGTAATATCAAAACGCTTCTGCAGATTGAATAGATGAAACAATCTGAACACGATACCGTCAAATGATTGCTGCATTGATTGACGTGAACTCGCCACGGTCGACTGAGTGTATCACTTGACGTTATTAAGTTGCTGATGTTTATGAAACATCTTGAATACAATGGTGTTTATTTACATATCGTTCTAACCTAGAAACAACTGCTGTAACGTTGATCTGAGTTTTAATGAGTAATTAAATGAACCATTGGGGCACGTAAGTTATTTTAAATTCATTAATCTGGTTATTCAATAAAGGGAAATGATACGTGAACGTTGAATATATATTAATACGCAATCTTATAGTTAGAAAATGCATTAGTGGAGAATGAAATAATAAATACACAGAAGATCTAGGAACGTCATTGACTGGACTTAGGAGCCACGATAAAAAAAGGTCCATCAGATAATGTCTCCAAAAGAAGTAAAAAAAATCCTTTCGCTTGCTAGACTTCGCTTGCAAATGATAAAAAGAAGTATCTCAGATATGAAGGTCCCTAATAGAAAAGGAACTCACTAGCTATAATAAATTAAGCTAATCAGATATGATGTTGCAGATACAAAAGGAAACATTTAAACATCACAAACTTTTTTACAAACATACAAACACTTTCTACTCACCGGTCTGTTGGGTGGACAGCTGGATGCACAGCATGCCAAACAGGCAAAACACAAGCATTTTGGTCATCATTTTGATTGGTGGGTTTTGGAAGTCTTCGGACTTGGTGAGAAGATTCTTAGGATGGTTGGAAGGCGTTGTGATATTGTCACTGTCAGTCCCAGCTTTTATAGGAATCTACCGAGCTGTGGAAGACGTCACGATTTATTGGTTCTAGTGTCAACTTTGCCCCCCCCACCCCCCAAAACCCCAATCATAGTTTATGCAAATAAGTGATACTTAAAATGAAATATAAAACAAGAACAACATAGAAAAGTGTATAAATCGCTGTTAATATTAAATGCAAATGAGATCTGGGCATAAAAGCTGCTACATAATAACTGGCCTAGTTAGGAAAGCACTAGTTTCAGAGTTTTACAAGAGATTATGGCGCATATATTTTAAACAACGTTATCGTCACAGTTTGCTAATGGGGTGCAGTGAATCAATTAAACGACTTCCCTCAAGAGCCATACAGTGCAATAAAATTTGAGAAAAGTAAAACAACTCAAGCCAGACTTTTGAACCTCTTTAATAGCGCCAGAAGAACTCAAACTTATGGAACTATGAAACAATGGATTTCATCCCTGGAATTCACATACACGACACAACCAAGTAGTCCGCAGTTTCAAGTTGAATATCCTTCATATTTGAGCTATGATATTGAATGTTACAATGCTCATCATACCAACCTATTTTCATCGAAACTCAAAAAGGAAATAAAAATAATTATCTCTAAAGGAAGAACGCACCATAGCGACTCTATGCCGAGCCAATTAAAAAATCTGAGAAGTGGTAACGTTAACAATGGCTTATTGCTTGGTGCTAAGCGCATAACTTGAAACAATTAAATTTTTTTTTTTGCAACAATAAGAGTTCAGAAAATTATTTATGCTTTAAAATAAACGAACCCTTAAAACTAAGTTTCTTGTATAAATCGTTTATTAAAATTTAGTATCGAGCAATGTGGGGAGGGGTGGCGGGGGGGGGGGGCTGGAAATTTGACAAACCATGCATTCAAGTAACACACTGCATAAGAATGCCATTTAATGCTCACCCTCAAGGCTTGCAACCGCAATTTTTTCCCTTGAATTATACATGTATTAATGTCCCAATAAAATAATTTATGCTTAAAAATAAACAAACCCTTAAAACTAAGTTTCTTGTATAAATCGTTTATTAAAATTTAGTATCGAGCAATGTGGGGAGGGGTGGCGGGGGGGGGGGCTGGAAATTTGACAAACCATGCATTCAAGTAACACACTGTATAAGAATGCCATTTAATGCTCACCCTCAAGGCTTGCAACCGCAATTTTTTCCCTTGAATTATACATGTATTAATGTCCCAATGACACTCCCGCTTTTACACTGCAGATTTATTTCACCAAATAATTTAGAAAATAAAAAAAAAAGAATATATTACGAACCAAACGCAGTTGCAATATTTTTGTAAAAAAGAAACTCTAATTTCTCATTTAGCGCAGTTATGGGGAATGTTTCATCGTGAAATCAGTGTATTTCCTTTATCATCCCATATGAAAGACAGGAGGAACTGACTTTTTGGTTTGGTTTGGAGGGTGGGTCTGAAAAATTTGAAACAAAGTGTAGACATCAGAAATGAGTCTATGAGCCAGGCTTCAGCTCGATAGGTTGACGGTAAGTGGGTCAAGTACGCGTCCGAAGATTTCGCCAGCCACGAAAAAAGGGAAGGTAAATAAAGGATTAAAAAAAACCCCCATTCTAAATGAATGAAATGAAAGCATTATTGAAAAGAAACAATAATGAAAAACAAATCTTAAAGTAAAGTTCTTGTCATCCTCCAACATTTTATTGAAAACTGTTTTAGTAGATATTTTGTACATTTAAAGAGATAAAAAAAGTAGGGCGTATCACGTGACCACCACTCGTGACCCGATTATGCAGATTGAAAAGACTTAAGCTTTCAGTAGGCAATGTTGCGTCAGCTTTCAGACGAATTGAAGGAAATATGGCTTATCTCTCTTCGAGTAGTGACGTCACTATTACATTCGGTTTTAGAAAATAGTCCAATATTATTTTAATGTGATATCACCATCATAATTTCAAAAGTTCACACACAATATCATGTGTGTAAATATCAACCCTTCGACTTATAGACATAAACAAAAAAGGTGTTAGGTACGACTTAGTAGGGTGTCAGGTGTGACCAGGAAAGGTGTCAGGTGTGACCAGGAAAGGTGTCAGGTGTGACAAAGAAGGGTGTCAGGTGTGACCAAGAAGGGTGTCTGGTGTGACCAAGAAATGTGTCAGGTGTGACTTAGAAGGTTGTCAGGTGTGACCAGGAAAGGAGTCAGGTGTGACAAAGAAGGGCGTCAGGTGTGACCAGGAAGGGTGTCAGGTGTAACTAGGAAAGGTGTCAGGTGCGACCTAGAAGGGTGAAGCTTTAATAGAAACTGGTACAAGTAATAAACTTTTCGGTATTTTCAGTAGACAAATATACCCCCCCCCCCCCTGAAGCTTTAATAGAAACTGGTAAAAGTAATAAACTTTTCGGTATTTTCAGGAGACAAATATACCCCCCCCCCCCCCAAATGGAATGAAAGGCATCAAGAATGATCCCTCACTGCGAGGAAGAAACAAATATTTGTCACGCCTCACCATCCCTTAAAATCTCCAAAATCCCTTAAAAACCAAAAATCCCCAGCAATTTCCCACAACCAACACCCCACAAACTTCCCACAACCAACACCCCCCCCCAAAAAAAAATCCTACATGCCCCCCACCTTAAAAAAAAATAACTCCACCACAAAACCACCTACCAGCAGCCCCTACCCCCACCTTTATTAAACCAAAAACCATTTGTTTGTTGGCCCACAGAGCAAGAAAACTAAAACAAAAAACTATTTAAAAAATTTCACGTTAAAATTTAAATCAAGCAACAAAAGCGTTATTTGTCAACTTGACGTGAATTCAAAATGTGTGCACTCTAACGGAAATTCAATCGTAAATCTTCAGGCAACATATAGTGAATGCACTACAGAAATAATCATTGTGTAACCAACGACGCGTGGAGCTCATCTCAAGTCACCATGTTTTTGAGGAGGCTTCCGGATGAAATAATCCTTCGCATATTTACATTTCTCGAGGTAGTCATCATAATTTTAATGGCTAGCGTCAGTGTTTATGTTTATGGTCATAACAGCGATATGAGTGACATTGTTTTTAAAACAAAGCTCTGCCCTGGTTCTGTCGTTTTATTGCGCCCTTTGTAAGTGGCTTAAGGTTGCGGTCTTTGTAAATGGCGTAAGGTTGCGGTCTTTGTAAGTGGCTTAAGGTTGCGGTTATTGGTGGCTTAAGGTTGCGGTCTTTGTAAGTGGCTTAAGGTTGCGGTCTTTGTAAGTGGCTTAAGGTTGCGGTCTTTGTAAGTGGCTGAAGGTTGCGGTCTTTGTAAATGGCTTAAGGTTGCGGTCGTTGTAAGTGGCTTAAGGTTGCGGTCTTTGTAAATGGCGTAAGGTTGCGGTCTTTGTAAGTGGCTTAAGGTGGGCCATGTTAGTCTTTCATGGTGGGCCATGTAAGTTAGTATTTTATTGCTGACCTTCACCTTTAACCCCCGCTAACATCCATGTAAATGTTACAACTGTTTTAACTTGCATCTTCAACCTTATTTTATGTTTGTATGTAAGCAATAAAAATTTCCCAGTCTATGTTATAAAACAATAATGAAACACATAGCTGTTAACATTTTAAAATTATTTATTGCTATGCGAGCAAGAGAAAAAGAGCAAATTTGTTTTCCAATTTTGATAGTACTTTGAAAACAGACTATCGCCCTAATAATTCCGCTTTTTTAAATCCCTTCCGCCAAGGTCAATCAGTTTTTTAACTTATTTTTTTAGGCAAGCAATTCCATAATAAATTCTTGTACACATCTCAGGAGTCATTAAGTCAGTTACAAAGTACCGGAGTCATGCGTATAGAATAAATTATATTTATAATACGAAATTCCTGTAATTAATGTAAAGCTAAAAACGAGGCCAGTCCTTAAATTTGAAATTCTGTTGGAATACACATGACTCTGACTACATCTAGACCCATGACTCTGTCCACTTTGAGACCCTTTGACTCTGTCCACATCAAGATATAGAGCTCTGTCCACATCTAGACCCTTTGACTGTGTGCACTTTGAGACGCTTTGACCGTGTCCACATCTAGACCTTTTGACTCTGTCGACACATAGACCCTTTGACTCTGTCCACATCTAGAATGTCCATAACTAGGCCTATGACTTTGTCCATATCCAGACCCATGAATCTGTCCACATCTGACTCTGTCCACATCTAGACTCTCTACAACTAGACCTGTGACTCTGTCCACATCTTATACTATTACTCTATCCACATCTAGACTCTGCCGTAATCTCGACACTGTCTACATCTAGACGCTGAACGCACCTAGAATTTGGGTCTGTCCACATCTAAACTAAATGTACACACCGCTTGACTCTGTCCGAATCTTTAGATTTGGTCAACATATAGACCCTATCCACATATAGACCATGTCCATATCAAAATTCTGTCCACACCTAGACCCATGACTCTGTCCACATCTAGACTCTGTCTACATCTAGATTCTGTCCACATCTAGACACATGACTCTGTCCACATCTAGACTCTGTCCACATCTATACCCATGACTCTGTCCACATCTAGACTCTGTCCACATCTAGACCCATGACTCTGTCCACATCTAGACTCTGTCTACATCTAGATTCTGTCCACATCTAGACCCATGACTCTGTCCACATCTAGACTCTGTCCACATCTATACCCATGACTCTGTCCACATCTAGACTCTGTCCACACCTAGACCCATGACTCTGTCCACATCTAGACTCTGTCTACATCTAGATTCTGTCCACATCTAGACCCATGACTCTGTCCACATCTAGATTCTGTCCACATCTAAGCCCATGACTCTGTCCTCATCTAGATTCTGTCCACATCTATACCTATGACTTTGTCCACATCTAGATTCTGTCTACATCTAGATTCTGTCCACATCTAGACCCATGACTCTGTCCACATCTAGATTCTGTCCACATCTAAGCCCATGACTCTGTCCACATCTAGATTCTGTCCACATCTATACCTATGACTTTGTCCACATCTA